TAATTTAAGAACAAATAACATATTTAAAGTAGGCAGTTGGAGATTAAAATGGTGTATAAAGTTTCTGCAAGTCAAAGAAACACATAATTATTTTCATGACATGTCTTTAACTTAGAATTTTGCACCATCCCCAAATCCAGAGTGATCACATATATCCAGCATGGCTGAAACAATAAAGTGCTTCGCTGAGCGCAGCTGGTTACGCCCGCAGAGGTCCAACCCTGAACAGTTGGGGCAAAAATGGACACAATATTCAAGCTTGATACAGGTCTGAATTTGGATTGTATTAAATATTTGACATATTATAGGTTTCTGAATAAATGTAGTCAAAGAACTTGAAATTGATTATATGAATTGAATTTATATTCAATTAAAGATTTCTTGCTGTTGTGCAATACACTGTGCTGTTGCGCAATACTTAGTAAATCTGTTGTCAGACTATAATAAACAATTAAAGTTCAATTAATTCTCAATGTCATATTAGAAATTTATGAAAATGTAAAGGGAGCTTACATCAATAGATATAAACGATTCACCAAAGTTTCATGAGAATTGCTGACAGCATTTTTGAGTTATTGTCCGAAAACTGGAAAATCCCCCCTTTTTAATGAATAAAACCCCATAACTCAGAAATGTAAAATGTAAAATTTATAAAATTCTAAACGGAGCTTACATCAATAGATATAAACAATTCACCAAAGTTTCATAAGAACTGCTGAAAGCATTTTTAACTTTTTGTCTGAAAACTGGAAAATCCCCCTTTATGAATAAAACCCTGTAACTCGGAAACGTAAAATCTAAAATATATAAAAATCGAAAGGGAGCTCATGTCAATAGATATAAACAATTCACCACAATTTCTTGCAAGTTGGTGAAAGCATTCTTGAGTTATTGTCCGAAAACTAGAAAATCCCCCTTTTTTAATGAATAAAACCCCATAACTCAAAAACGTAAAATCTAAAATTTATAAAAAACGAAAGGGATCTCACGTCAATAGATATAAACAATTCACCAAAGTTTTATGCAAATTGGTAAAAGCGTTTTTGAGTTAATGTCCGACATGTTGACGACGGACGGACAGACAGACAACGGTTTACCATAATACGTCCCGTAAACGGGCGTATAAAAATAATCTCAATTCAAATTTCTAATGGAGTTTGCAACCATAACTACTCATTTAAATACAGCATAAAATATTAAAATATTAAATGACATACAGTCATGGTAAAAATTAATATTAATTAATAGTAACTTCTAAAAATAAATTTACAGCTAATCATCTCAAGACAACCATCATTTCTTAATACATAATTTACTAGCAGTTTAAGGGAGGTAATCAAACTAATATACAACAGTATTCTTTAAATGGATTGGATTACCTCCCTTACACTGGTTTTCAATTGTCTAAATTGTCCTTTAACCATAAAAACCCTTGTTTTCCCCATTTTTGCCCCTAATCGCTAAATGGTTTGAGCCATAACCCCTCATAACCATTCCTTTGTTGTATGGAAACTTGTGGTATAATTTCAGAGAGATTCATACACTTAAACACAAGTTATTGTCTGGAAACTGCAAAATGCTTATTTGGCCCCTTAATTCCTAAAACTTTGGGACCATAACCCCCAAAATCAATCCCAACCTTCCTTTTGTTGTTATAAACCTTGTGTTAAAATTTTATTGATTTCTATTTAATTATACTAAAGTTATTATCCAGAAACCATATCTGTCGTGTTGCTCATGTATGTACAAACTAGGCGATATGTCTAATTCGGTATATCACAGACTGGATCGTGTTAAAGAAGATTTTCAAATCTCCAAAAAGAACAGACATGTGTGTTAATTGCATACATTTGTAACACAAAAACCTACTTTAATTTACATGAGATGTTGATGGGAGAATTTATCTCGTTGCGAAAAAACGCTCACGTTTTAGGCAAAACATTTGAAGTCTTCTTTCTAATTTGAGTTTGACCATGGAAGTATTGTATCAATATAATACTTCCAGGCATGGTTTGACAAAGGTTAGGAAGCCGTTTCGTGCATAATATATAAATATATAATAATGCAATATATAAATGAAGTATCTCTATTTTTTTTTTAACTTATTGCTAAAATCTTCCTAAATTGAAACAAAGATTTGTATAGTACTATAATACAAATCGTTGATTGAAATTATTTGTTCTTACTGTACTCAGTCTTACAAATGTGCATATATATATATTTTTATTGATACTTCTCAAACGGCCATTGCATAACATAAAATTGATACAGAGATACAATATAATTATTTATAATAATAAATAAATAGTTTACAACATGCATACTATACATGCCTATGGTCTATATACTAGCTTTGATAAGTGTTTGGTATTACTATAAATTTTCACTTCTTCGTACTATGAACATCAAAATTATTTATTTTGTAAAAATATTTCCTTTCTTCATTTGAACTGTACACGTATACCTAACAGCAAAATTATTTTCATTTACCTGTGTTTAAAGTAATTGCAAATGGCTGATATTTTTGTTCAAGCATATTGTTTTTCTTAAATTATTTAACATTTCACAGCGGTATAACATGTTACTTCAATTATTCTTCCCTTAGTTTATTTATTTTGTATTTACATTGTATCATAGATCAAATTTATTTGTTCAGTGTATGTTCACTGGTGTTAATATGTCTTTTGATTGAGTTAAGCCATTTCAATTGATATTTTATAATGTCTTTCTATGTTGTGATGTTACACTATTGTTTCAGATAAGGGTGAAGGTTTGGTACCATTAAAACGTTTAAACCCGCTGCAATTGTTTGCACCTGTCCTAAGTCAGGGATCTGATGTTCAGTCAGGGGCGGATCCAGGATTTTGTAAAGGGGGGGGGGGGGGGGGCGAAGTATGTAAAGATCGCCGAGCGGAGGGATGCGAAAAAATTTTTTGACCTTTTTTTGGCTAAAAAACATAAAATAAGTGTAAAATGCACTTTTTTAACGGTTCCTGACATAAGGCATGTATATTTTATAGTTTAAGTGTAAGGGTTGGACATTTTTGACGCTGTATTCTCCCCATTAATTGTCTATTATAAAATGATTGGATCGATCCAAAGCTATGTACTAATATATCTGATGTGGGACTTGTCAGTAAAAAATTGACATGGAAAATTCTCGTTTGTTGTATGTTTAGTTAGCATAACATCACGGATTTCTTGTTGTAAACAAGATATACGCGGGCTATTCAATGAAATTTACAATACGACCGACACGAGTTAAGAAAGACAAACAAGCAATTTTTATCCAAATGTTTGGTTGAAATGTTTCACACAACAAGGGAAGTGAGGGGTTCCAAATCAACCAAAGGCTCCGAATGAGTCTGAAATGACAACGAATATATGAATGACGGTCGACATATGGAGACATAAAGGCCACATCCAGCAGGCAGGTTGCAGTCGGGCCTTGAAAAATTATTCATTTTATCAGTTTGACGAAATAGACATTCCGGTCAGATATGGGATTTACATGCAAACCCCCGGCCCCAAAAAAATTACGCCCGTTTTTTTATTTATCATGTTCATTTAATGCTAAATAATTCTGTTGGAAATTTTTGTTTCTAATAGCAAAAAAAGTGGACAAGGTTATTGTTTTTCAATCCAGATACGGCCAGAATTTTTGTTTAAGGCAAAAATCAGGGTCAGATTTTTTTCTCTCAAACATCTCAGACTGCCCCTCAAATCAAATGGTCCGTACCTTAGACTTTAAATCTATCTAGAGCTTATTGACTGGGAATCATTATTATGCTATGTTATTAATAGGCTGGGGCGTGATGGGTTAAACATGTTTTCGTAGGTAAATAATATTGCTGTGGAACTTTTTTTTCATGAAGTGTAATAGAGTATTACTTTCTGCTCGGTGGAATTGTGAAATAGAAGTCAATAAATACGTTCTTGCTCAATCCTTTGTCGCTTTGAAGGTGTCATGCTTGTCATCCTCAGCCTAAGCAATGTGTTACTGTAATTCGAATTTCAAAATGACTGAGTGACGTTTTTTCGACGCACTGGTCAACTCCACGTAGCGAATCACATGATTTTGACATAATCAATAATATATTACAGTAAATACGAGCGAAACATATCTTTATAAGTAAAGAATTGTCGCATAAAAAATAAATGGAAAATGGCAAAGTTCACTAAGTCTAGTCTGATAAATCATTTTACAAAAAAAAAAAAAAAAAAAAATGCAAGCAGTACGCCCACTACGCCCCCCTCTAGATCCGCCACTGGCAGTAGTTGTAGTTTGTTGATGTGATTCATAAGTGTTTCTCGTTTCTTGTTTTTTATATAGATTAGACTGTTGGTTTTCACGTTTCAATGATTTTACACTAGTAATTTTTGGGGCCCTTTATAGCTTGCTGTTCGGTGTGAGCCAAGGCTCCGTGTTGAAGACCGTACTTTGACCTTTAATGGTTAACTTTTATAAATTGTGACTTGGATGGAGAGTTGTCTCATTGGCACTCAAACCACATCATCTTATATCTATAAAACTAACAATGGTTAATAGAAAACATACATTATACATAAAGTATATTTACATGATTTATAAGAATTACAAATGCAAGCCAGATGGGCAAATATAAGTATTTACGTATTTAATATACCTGCCTGAGAATTTCTTTAAAATTTCTAGTGTTTTCTGGACATTAGCTCTTTAAATTTTATTGCATTATGTCTGTGGTTGAACTACGTACGAATACAATAATTACATTTTTCAGCTAAAGGGTTGCATTAAAAAATATAGTGGTGTTCATCACCAACTTGTCCATGTTGTCTGTTAATGCATAATAAACAAAATCGATTTTGTCTTTCTATGTTTTGCCATAAAGAAAGGATGCATTTAAATAGAAGTTTAATATATCTTATGATTATCATAAGATATATCTTAGGACCTTTTATTTACTAAGGGAGCATTTTTCGCAATAATAAAAACATCGCAATAATTTCTGAATTTACAGTACTAAGGGAGCTACCATTTGATTTTTATGGGGTGGCTAGGATGAAAAAATTTGTTGTAATCTCTGTCCTGCCTTTTTATTTTTTACTTTATTAGGTCCTGCCTTTTATTAGTTTACCCTGACTTTTTTTACATAAATTGTCATCCTGCCTTTTTTTTTGGCCAAGTTGCTCATCCTGCCTTTCGTTTTTACTCAAAACTCCTGTCCTGCCTTTTTTTTTCAAATTTCAATCTAGCCCCCCATAAAAATCAAATGGTAGCTCCCTAATCTACATACATGGTCTTGAACGTACAAATGTTTGAAGTTTGTAAAAGTTCTAGGGCACACATACAACAGTAATGGTTTTCATGCATGTTATGTTTGCATGATGGATCATCTACATTGTAACATTGTAAACTTGAATAGGATCATAGCTAGATTCGTAATAAACAAATAACTTGTTTCTGAATTTGTCAAAGCATATACCGCTGGGTTTCTGTAGACCATTTCCTTCCCTCAACAAAACCTGCGCAGAGCTATCCTTTTGTTTCAAGACATGAATGTTGTTTGATGTCTTACCACAAATGTAAACATTTCCTTCTGCGTCAAGAGCAATTCCAGAGACATCTATCAAATCTTTTGTCTGGTACAGACAAACCTCCTCACCATAATCCTTCATACAATATAAACGATCTGCAATTGCATAATACACATCGTCATTCCTACCTACACAAAAAGCTTGAATCACACCGCCTGACATTTGAAGGGTCTTCAAATACTGAACATCATGACCATTGATATCCATTACAATAATTTCACTTTTATAAGCGATATATAATTTACTCAAAGAGGCGGTTATAAGATTACAACCTTTTGCCATCTTCATGATATTTTTGCAACGAAGTGTATCTTCCTTTTCTAGAAATATAAGTTTCTTATTGTCAACTAATACAACAGCTTTATTTCCACCAGGAATTTCAGTGCTATCTGTTGGTGTGCCAGGAATTTTAATCTCACTAATACGACTTCCAGTATCAGTAAATAAAAATACTTTAGAGGATGATATAAGGTTAAACTCGACAACAAGAAGCTGACCAGTGTCCATTATCGATACACTGTATACATATTTTTCAGTCTTCACTGGCTCGCAAGGTGTTGCACAAATAGCTGATATTTTCATCCCTTGCATCATGTTTACATTGTATGGTGTTGACTCCATGTTAACTTTTCCAAATAGTAATTCCATTTTAGAACGCAATTCAACAGGATCAGTTAGTTCCATTTTCAACGAATATGCATGCATGTTGTAAAACATTTCTTTCAGTTGTTGGTCCCTTACATTCTTGAAAGCTTTCAATCTTTGCAGTAACATAAATGCTTGTTTGTCTGATCCTGTATTCAATATGGAAGACATTTCTTCTAAGAACCAAGCAGCCTCTTTTCGTCCATCTTCTGCAACTGTTTTGTCTTTCATCAATTGATTGAGAACTTCTTTTTCTTGACTTTCAACATCCATCAATAATGTTCTATCAATTATTTCCTCAAGGTATCTAACTAATTCTAGTCTTATTTCAACAATTTTCTTTTTTGCTGAAGAAACCTCGTTTGAAAACATTTTTTCAACTGTCTGCTTATTTACAAGAATAGTACTGAAACTTTGTAAGATATTTGTAATTTCTGTTTGCAGACTGTGAAAATTTTGTGAATTTTTTGTTCCATTGGAAGCAAGGTCAATAGGAACTACATCACTATAACATGAATGGTGTGAACCAAGACAAGCATCACATAACATAATATCATGTTTCTTGCAATAAAACTGTATTTCAACTGATGGGTGATATACGCATGTTTCAGGTGTGTTAAAGACTGTTTCCTTGTTTTCTGTAGCATGTGTAGTATCCCCATCAATTCTTCTTTCTGTTAAATAATGATTCCTTGTTAGTTTTAAAGTTTGATGATGTTGAACACACCCTGAACATAGCTGTTCCTCACAAATAGTACACCATTTCACAGATTGATTTTTATTACCTCCTTCTAAGCAAGGACCACATATAGCTGGCATTGCATGTTCCGCCATGATTTATATTGTATGTTTTTTTCCTGAAAAATATAATCACTACTAGTATTTCATACAGAATGCACAAACATAAAATCCTATTTTTTTACAGAATAATTGAAATGATTGTAGTGTAGTTAAATTATTGGTCCATATTTTGGCTAGCGCTTCATCTAATAGTACAAATATCATGAATATATAAAATTTACTGTCATCTTAAACTAAACAACACAAGAACAAACAAACAATCTTAAACCAAAGTCAACAAACCAAGTCTATCACTAATTTAGAGCTTGACAAAATTACGGCACAGCTACTTGTCCATGATGGCAGTATGGTGATTTAAAATGTCTTCTTTGTTCTATTTTATTATTAGATGGCTATCTCATGGATGTTTTCCCCTGATCATAAAGACATATTTCATTTAACATGTTTAAGTCCTATAAAATAATGGCAAAGTACCCTGTTTCAAACTGAATGCCGAACTGTCCATTAATTAAGGAATAGCTTCACTTGTGCATACACAGTTGTATGATCTTTACCGTTACAATACTTGATATATTGACACAATATATAGGTTAACCTTCAAAATAAAATTAATCTTCCAATAATTTTATACAGTAAACATGGTAAATATGGACATTTTTTTTTTTTGAAGAAAAATCTAAGGGAGCTACCATTTAATTTTTATGGGGGGGCTAGGATGAAATTTGAAAAAAATAGGCAGGACAGGAGTTTTGAGTAAAAAAAAAAGGCAGGATGAGATTATTTGCAAAAAAAAAGGCAGGATGACAATTTATGTAAAAAAAAAAGTCAGGATAAACTAAAAAAAAAGGCAGGACCGAATAGTATGAAAAATAAAAAGGCAGGACCGAATAGAGGGAAAAATAAAAAGGCAGGACAAAATTTTTCATCCTAGCCCCCCCCATAAAAATCAAATGGTAGATCCCTAATCATAGATCAATATCAATACAACATGTACAACATGTACAAAGGGGTTTCAACTTTTCGAAAAAGGATGCAAATTACACTAGTAATCATTTGTATAAATCTGCTGTTTTGTCTTTAGTCGTTGATGTATTCAAACAATAAAATGTACATGTTAAGGATATTCCCTCATCTTGTTTTTGAATTTTTGCCAGATATTCGGAATCCTCTGGTTTTATCCATGTGATGCCATTAAAACAATGTGTTGCCCGCAAACCCCTACTTTTCTTTTTACATTTTTATAACATATAGTTTAAAATGCCATATTTGAAAATCTTATAAAATCCTTGTTATTTTTTCATAGTTTTTGAAAGAAAAAGGTGCCAATGTTAAATGTATGAAAAATCTAGAGAGAATCACTTCCCGCCAAATTTTCAATGGCTTATAAACAGACACTGACCCTTCATTTTTTTCTTTATTTTTAGTTCCTTAATTCATATACTTTCAAATCATAACAGTCTTTTAAAAAGCTAGTTTTTTTTTAAACAGAGGAGCGAACATTCCTTAAAAGACACAGTTGAAAACAAAATAGTTGTCTGAGGCAGAATTAATTGACTGGTATGTATATATATGCCTACTGTTAAAATATTTGGCATTTTCGTACAACAGTTTAGTTGTAAAAAAATAAAAAGAGATGTAATTTGAAAGGTAATTGCTGCCTACCAAATGAATGCAACATATGTGATGTACTAGACTGCAAGTGCATCATTGTACAACAGTTTTCAGATAAATTATTTTCATGACGTGCATCAAGGTTCATCATAACAAATGGACAAAAATTGTGGTGTAAACACCTCAAAAGGTATTCCAAGTACAGACAAATATGTGCAGTTAGTATCCACTAGATACACAATGCTTATATTTAACTTAAATGCATTCTGGGAGGTCTGGATGGGGGGGGTCCTTCATTTCTTTATTCTTCAACTTTTTTACCATTTTTCTGTATTCTTTATTATTTTTATTTTATTTTCTCTATATTTCAGCACCTTGTTATTATCTTTTCTTTATTTTTTTTTCTCTCTATTCTGTAAACCCCATCCAGACCCTTACATGTACTTTGTGATTCAGAAAGACAAAATCTTCTGGGGAATATTATGTGCATTTTTTTCATCACTACAGATGATGGTAAAATAAACAAACACCTGAATTACATTTGATACTGTCCGTTCAGTTTGTGTTGTTCAGTCTTAAGTTTTCTGTGTTGTGTTTTGTGTACTGGTGCCTTATTGTCATTTTTTGTCAGTTTATTTTCAACTTGCGACTTTGAAAATCCCTTTGGTATCTTTCATGTGTCTTTCGTCTCTCTTTTAAACCCTTTATATCACCTACATGTATTGTTGTGAAGATATATATCTACTGTCCTTCTATTGTCCAATACATAACAATACAATCAATGATTGTTATATTTGTTGTACCTTGTTTATTTTTACGTCTTCTTCAGCATGTTCAGGAACTTGAATGGGACGAAAGAAAAACAAGAGGCTCTCATGAGCCTGAATCGCTCACCTGTATTTCAGAGGAGAAGATTTTTAAATGTTAGCAAACTTGATGAACAAATTGTGTAAAATTGTCTTTAAAGGGCAATAACTCCTTAAGGGGTCAATTGGCAATTATGGTCATATTAACATTTTTGTAGATCTTACTTTGCTGAACATTATTGCTGTTTACAGTTTATATATATCTATCATAATATTCAAAATAATAACAAAAAACTGCCAAATTTTGTTAAAACTACCAATTCGGTGGCAGCAACCCAACAATGGGTTGTTCGATTCGTCTGAAAATTTCAGAGCTGATAGATCTTGACCAATTGAACAATTTTACACCATGTCAGATTTGCTCTAAAAGCTTTAGTTTTTGAGATAAAAGCCAAAAACTGCATTTGACCCCTATGTTCTATTTTTAGCCATGGCGGCCATGTTTGTCGCTGGATCAAAACTTCGGATACAATTTATAAACAAGATACCCTAAGGAACATTTAGTTAAAGTTTGAAGGTATTTGGCCCAGTAGTTTCAGAGGAGAAGATTTTTTAAATAGTTTACGACAACAGACGACGACAGACGCCAAGTGATGGCATAAGCTCACATAGGGCCCTTTGGGCCCCGGTGAGCTAAAAAGGCCCTTCAAAATCTAAATCAGATTTTATCTTCCTGAATCAAAATATGCATTTAACTGTTGTATATCTAGTCATGCTAGAAGCACTAGAAACTAAGCCTTAAAACTTTTTCTACTGCACAGGATCCTGCAGGTGTGACCCGAGATTTTCACAATTCTGAGGGGTCACCCGGAACACCCGCCGGGTGACCAAAAAACCTGGGAATTCGGAAAATAACCCGTTTTCACCCGGATTCCTTAGCCTTCAGACTGATTAGATATAAAGTGATTTCAATGAAATACCAGCAAATTCGTAATTCTTCCTGGACAAGAAGTTCAACTAGCTGCGTAAACTCAGCTCAATTGACCCATTTCAGTGCATGGCTTCATTTGACAGCTTTGGTGTCAAACACACTGTTAATTAACACCAATTACCTTAGCTTTAGGTCGTAAATAATTTGTGTATTTCAAAGTTGTTTTAAAAAAAAATTGAGTTACTTCCCCTTTTTTGTCAATTCACAATATACTCCTTAAACTTAAGTTTTTTTTTGTAAAAAGATTAAATCTAAAATGAATTGAATGCACAAACATATCAGAATAATACTTTTACTTATTGTTCTACATTAGAACAATTAAAAAATTTGTAAGGGTTCCGCGGAACCCAGTGTCTCGCCTACTTTTGCTGTTAGTCGCAGGCTCAACAAAAATGGGTAAAAAATTATTAAAAATTTTCCTCTAAATACTATCTTTTGATTGTAAGAAGTTCTGTTCAAGTTTGGTAAAAATCCAAGAAGGTTTATGAATCTAATAAATGTTTTAAAAACTTCAACTGCAGACTGTACGTAATGTCAACTGGAATAAAACTAAGGCACATAAGTCCATTTATAAGTAATATACGGAAAAACAGGAAATAAATTTTTACAAAATTTCCTTCTAAATACTAGCTTTTGATCCTAAACAAGCTTCTGTCCAAGTGTGGTACAAATCCAGGATAGTTTAAGAAAGTTATTAAAAATTTGAAAAACTTTTAACCACAGAGTGAATGTTATGTTAACTGGCAGAAAAACTAAGTCCATATATGAGTAAAATACGGATAAACAGGATTTTTTTTTACAAAATTTTCTTTTAGATACTAGCTTTTGATCATAAACAAGCTTCTGTGTAAGTGTGGTACAAATCCAGGATAGTTTATATAATTAAGAAAGTTATTAAAAATTTGAAAAACTTTAACCACAGAGTGAATTTTATGTTAACTGGCAGAAAAACTAAGTCAATATATGAGTAAAATTCGGATAAACAGGATTTTTTTTTACAAAATTTACTTCTGGATACTATCTTATGATCATAAACAAGCTTCTGTCCACGTTTGGTTGAAATGCAGGATAGTTTAAGAAAGTTATTAAAATTTCAAAAACTTAAACCACAGAGTGAATATTTGTGGACGCCGCCGCCGCCACAACGTTGACGGAATGTAGGATCGCTACCGGTATGTCTTGCTTTTGCGACAAAAGTCGTAGGCTCGACAAAAAAAAAAATTTTGAAAATTACCTTTTTCATCTATACCTCCTTTAACTGTTTAAATTTATTTTATTATACTCTAATATCAACATAATGAAATGTTCTACTGTTTAAAAGCTGCACAAATGTATGTAAAGAAAACACAAATTGGCACATTGTATGTCATGGAATGAATATGAACAGGAATTAAGGCAATGTAACACAAATCTATCAATGGCCTCCAGGTGCAATGAAATAATAATATGTACAATTTTAAATTACTTAACCATGTGGACATGTTTTGGAAACTTTGATGTAAATTATAAGAAAAATGTCCCCTAAATACTGAAATTCAGATCGAAAAAGTTTGTATGCGTTATGACCTGAGATTTCATTCTTCTATGCAGGTCATCACCAGCATTTTCATTGTCATAGGTTGACAGGTATGGGACATGTAGAAGGGCACAGGGGGGAACCGCCATCTCCTCTTTCATTTGTCTTTATGGAGCTAGATATATGGTTAATACATAGACTTTTTACATGAAGAACAATATGAAGGCACTAGATACTATTCAAATTCATAGGGATCCATATAAGAACTCTTTCTTTGTCAAGAGCATATAATAGTTAATTTATCTTCTTCTTCCGAATACGGGAGTAGACTCCTAGGTAGGAGTGTAAAACTTCCCGGAACTTGTGTGCTATGTACATATGGACTTAATTTAAAAATAATATGACAAAGAAAAATCATTAACAATAACATATATACACTATGTACAGTGGCTTTGTAGTTTAATAAGTTGTTGTGGCCCCTTCAAATGTTAGAGTGGATATGCCACTTTTGAAGGATTCCAGGGTGTCAGACATACCTATTGCTTCAGGTAGTGAGTTCCAGTCCGAAATAGTGCGAGGATAAAAAGAAAATTTATAGAAATCTTTATTTGTTGATATTTGCCTAAATTTATGTTTCCCCCTAGTACGTCTATCAGATATTGTTAAATTGTCCTTAGGAACTTCCACTAACCCCCAATTTATTTTATATAGCATAGTTAATCTAGCTTTTTTCCTTCTTATTTCTAAATTTTCCCATTCCAATGATTTAATTAAATTTGAAACTGCTCCAGGTGATCTGTCTTTATAATCATTGAAGACAAACCTGGCTGCCTTACGCTGTACCTGCTCAACCTGAGTGATGTGTTGCTTTTTGTACGGATCCCATACAGGGGAAGAGTATTCGACGACTGGACGGACAAGTGATGTGTACGTAAGGTTTTTAACCTTACGTGTGCAGTTTTTTAAGTTCCTACGAAGAAAACCTAAGGTTTTTTTTTGCCTTACAGGTAATATTGTTTATATGTGTTCCCCAATCAAGATCATGGCTTATAGTTACGCCTAAATATTTACTATCTTTTACTGCTTCTAAAACATGATTGTGCAATATATAATCAAAAGTGGAAGGTTTACTTTTTTTAGAAATATGAATAACATAACACTTCTCAGGATTAAAATTCATTTGCCAGTCCTCTTCCCATTGTACTAAACTAGATAAATCTTTTTGAAGTAATTTGGCATCAGAACTATTATTAACATTTCTATACAATAAACAGTCATCTGCAAAAAGTCTTGCATTGCAAGTTACATGTTTCGGGTAGGTCATTAATAAAGAGTAAAAATAATGTTGGGCCTAAAACTGTTCCCTGAGGGACACCAGAATCAACAGCTAATTTTGAAGATTTAACACCATTTAATAGTACCTGCTGTTGCCTGTCAGCTAAAAAGTCATTTATCCAATTTAAATTTTGATTCCTAATACCATAAAAGTTTAATTTCTGGGCTAATCTTTGATGGGGGACTTTATCGAAAGCTTTGGAAAAATCTAAAAGTATAACATCTATTTGGTTACCATATCCCAATGATTTTGCAAGATCTTGTAAACTGATGATAAGTTGGGTCTCACAAGACCTTTTACTTCTAAACCCATGTTGACTATCATTCAATATGTTATTAATTGTAAGATGTTTCCTTATGTTGCTTGTTATAATGTGTTCTAGAATTTTGCAACATATTGCAGTTAGTGAAACTGGTCTATAATTAATAGCGTTATGCTTGTCACCTTTTTTAAATATTGGTACAACATTAGCCTGCTTCCAATCAGTTGGGATTTTACCAGTATCAATAGATTTTTGGAAAAAGAATGTCAAAAATGGAGACAATTCTTCTGCAAAGTTATGTAAAAAATATGCTGGCAGATTATCAGGGCCAGTGGCTTTGTGTGGATTTAAGTTTTTAAGTAACTTTAATAAGCCATTATTACTAATAAATATGTCTGGCATAGTGGGATGGGGACTTGTACCTTTATTTGGCATAGAGGATGTATCTTCGGTAGTAAAAGCCTTTTTAAATTGTTCATTTAGGATGTTAGCTTGTGTATTCGGCTCACTATATAATAAGCCATCCTTTCCTCTTAATGGTGAAACACCAGATGTTTCTGTTTTTTTACTTTTTATAAATTGCCAGAAAGATTTAGGTTTTACTTCTAACTGGGGGCTAATTATTTCTTGCATGTACGTGCTCTGGGCTCTTCTTATTTCTCTTTGAGCAGTAGCTTTTAACTTTTTATATTTATCTTTATGTTCTTGTTTACCAGTTTTTTAGCTTTGTTGTAAGCTTTACGTTGTTTTTTACATAAATGGTCTTTATCCCTATTTGCCCAAGGGTTGGTGTACTTAGATTTAGTTATTTTGCTTGGTACATTATCATCTATTATTTTATTACTACCTTCTTTGAATTTATTCCATAATTGGTCAATATTTAAATTTTCATTAGCCTGAGATATAAGTTCAGATATAAAATGAGATGTTATGTCTTTTATCTTTTTAATATCAACCTTTTTCCATAAATAAATTTTGTGTTGTGATTGTTTAGATCTTTGGGGCTTGCAGATTGCATCCACTAATACAATATCATGGTCAGATATACCTGGTATGGATTTTATTTTTGTTATCAATGCAGGTTGGTTTGTGCAGAAAAGGTCAAGGATATTATCTTTCCTAGTTGGAAAATCAACCATTTGTTCAATGCCTGAGTTGTTCAGCATATCTATAAATGCTTCATTCAGCTCCTTAGTATACAATGAGCCAGATATATTTTGCTCCGGCCATTTTATGTCTGGAAGGTTAAAGTCACCACCAAGCCAGAAGGTGGAATTTTTAAATTTTAATTTAAGTTCATTAATTTCAATGATCATTTGTTTGAGATAGTCTATATCATTTTTATTTGGTGGTCTATATGCAGAAATAATAACTAAGGATTTAGTATCAGTTATATTAATTTGGGCAGCAATAAGTTCTACATTTTTGCTTTTATATACTTCTTGGCAAATAATACCTTTTTTAATGGCGATTAATACACCTCCACCTTCTTTTCCGACCCGGTCGTTTCGGAATACATCTTCAAATAGTGTGTTTGGAAAAATTTCAGAAGATAATACATCTTTGTTTAGCCAAGTTTCATTACCAATAATAATATCTGGTTTAGATGACGTTAATAAATTTTCAATTTGAGGAACTTTATTTTTACAACTTCTAAAATTGATCTGAAGAACTCTTAATGAGTTTTGTCTATTAATATTCTTATTTTTTAATTGCTTCGTTACTGGTGGTTTTGGTGATGATGTAGCAACTGGGTCTCCAAAATTTTCATGATTATCATTTATATTGAAGCTTAAGGAAAAAGCTGAACTATCAGAAAGTACTGAATATGAGTTAGGGTTCAAAATAGAATTACCTGATGAGAGGTATGATTGAAAAATGGTTCTAGAGTGATTAGGAGTATCACATATCGGGCATATCCAAAGTGCTGATGAATTTCCAAACTTTTCATACATAGATGGACTTATATTTACACATCCAATATGACACCATTTATCGCAGTTATCACAAACAATAGCATCACTGTCCCAGGTACACTCATGCGAGCAAATAGAGCATGGATAACTGGAGTCATTCAAGTTTGATGGGCCAGGGTTGGTTTCAACCTGGTTGCTTAAAAGAATTCTAATCAAAAGATGAATGTGGCGATCTGATTTGCCAAAAACACATCTATTTTTAAAATTGGACACATGCAAGTGCCAATAATAAATCTGGGTAGATACCTCAATTGTTGTGTCACATTGAAGGCTGATAGTGATACCCTCATATTTGTTGGATTCTAGTATATTATTTTGTATATTAAACTCATTGACTGTGCTCAGAAAAATAAAAAATGTTGAGCAAATCACGACTAAGCTATGTTTAAACATTTTGACAGAGTCTAAGTGTCACAAAAATATAATCAGTGAAGAGAAGGATGGTGACTCTCATACACATTCATAACATGTTTAATAAGACAGTTAGTAGTTGATGACAAATTATATCTTCGTTCCTTGGGCGACTCAAGGACACAGGATAAACACACTAGGAAGCCATATTATATAAGGTGTATTTATACATTGGAATCCACTGGAAGACAGTATTATATGCACAAATACAGTTGAGAGCTTCAAGGCAGCTCTCCAACACCGTCAATAGGTGTCTCTCTCTCCCGTTGGATAAAAGCCAGAATTGGTATCTTCAAAGTATATATACAGATTCAGATACAGGCCCACACCTACCGCTAGGTACATCATTTGTACATGTACCAGATAGCCAACGCCCCTTTTCTTCGAAGTTCTGGATCGTATCTGTGTTACAAATGGGCCTTAATGTGTAATAAAAAAATAAAAAAAAGTGTGATTTCAGTAATCATTATTTAGTTTCTTACATTCAAAGCATAATTTTTAACATAATTCTCTTCTGTCATTTGATTACAGGAGGGTAATGTATGTAAAGGGAAAGAAAACAAAGATAATATGCTGGAAAGATCTCATTCGAACCTTTCAGTGTTTATCTACGTCATAATGCTGAAACCGTAACCCATTATATCAATATTTGTTGTTTCACTAATGCTTCACGTTTTTTTTCTCGCTTTTTTGACATGTTGAAGAATAATCCTAGAGAATCTGCGTCAGTCTAAACGATTGTAATTTTTCTCAGTATGAATTTAAAATGTGAAACTAGGTGGGGGTACTTTGGTTATCCTGTCTAAAAACACTTTCTAAAACTCAAAGACAAACGAATAACTGTATTTTGTATAAAGAATATCCTAATAAGTAACTATTTCATATATTACATTTTTTATTACATGTATGTGTTTGAAAGCGACGGACTTGGTCATTACTTGTTTTTATTGGATAAATAGTCCTATTTATTTGTAAAGAACTTATATATAAAACTACGATTTACCGTAAAGCGTTTGTGGTCTCTGCATGAAACAGGGTCTGTATGAGGTTTACAGAAAAGAGATAAATAGGCCGATACTACAGAAAAAGGGGAAAAAGGGAGGAATAAAGATAAATAAACACACACAAAAAGAGAATAGAGAATATTTGAGTAATAAAATATAAAGAATAGAAAATAATAGGATGCTTAAATATAAAGAATAGAGAATAATGGGCAAACAATATAAAGAAAAGAGAAATATGTCCTAAAAATGTAAAGAATACAAAATTGAAGCCCCCCCCCCCCCCCTTACCCCACCCCAAACCCTGTGACAGAATATAAGTTCCCCCATAATATTTGTTCCAACTTGAGAACTTTTATCATATAACAAAAGTTCCATTGGGAACTTTCATTATGTAATATTTTATCCAAAGCTATAAAAACATTTCCTTCACAAAGGATAAAATATTACATAATGAAAGTTCCCAATGGAACTTTTGTTATATGCTAAAATTTCTTTGGAATAAAATATTGCAGACAATGTTTTGACATTTTCCACCCGTATGAAACTTCGAATCGGAACTTTTGTTATGGTCGTCCATTACTTGCACTTTAGTCATAAAAGTTATAAAAGTTCCTGGAATATTGGTTATATTATAAAAGTTCCTGGAATATTGGTTATATCATGATGCGACAAACACACACACAAATATATGTATTGCATTGTTAATGTGTCTTCTTTTTACCACAAAAACACAACATAAAATCCTGGATACTCGCCTGCGATGAAATGGTTTATCAGAATAGGGCATATATACAAAATAACAATTATATTTCGACATCCGAACTATTGGATTTTATATTTTATAACTGTCTTATTTTAGACGAATTGTACATGTGCTTTTTTCTGAGCGGTTGATTAGTTTTTGATAATCAATTTTGTATTATTTTGTTCTGTTTTAGCCAAAATTCAATTATGCCGTAAAATGTTCTGGTCTTCTTCTGATTTGCTTTCTGTGATGTCATTGCAAAAAGCGACTACACCTGATCATCTTGTCTTGTTCAGAAAATATAATTTCTGTTTCATCATAAAAACTCTCTTTTGATTGATTAAGATATATAATTATCGAATTATTAGTATTTTGATCGGGCCGTTGGAACCCAGCATAATTCTGCTATGATGTTCAAGATTTAAGAAAACTATACGTTTACACATAAAATAAATCCAAAGTTTGATTTAGAATACTTTCTTTCAAAAGAACAAAACAAGGATAATAATTTTAGGCACAACAGAAAAATATATGCTCCTCTGCAGAATAATTTTTAATCATCTTTTTTTTTTAATTTCAATTGACATATTATTTTTTTTGGATACGGTTTAATTTAGAACAGAAAGAAGAGCTTCCAAATTAAGGACAGACTGACGATGAGTTTAGTTCATTTGACACATTTTGTACTAGCTTCTTGCTATACATAACAGCAAAAAAAAAAATTGTGGAATTCTCTATTATTTTTAGATAGATTCACAAGTTACGATGATATAGGGCCGGTCAGTAGCAAGAAGATTTTATAGCACATACAATGCAACAACATCCTGTCTTTCTAGTTAAAAAATCAAAATCCGCCCCCTCTTGGCTCTTTAAACACTCTTCGGATGAAAATGGCACTGATTTTAATCGCAGTAATAACAATGAGGGGAAATTGCTTTACAAGGTGTGTATGTCAAGACCGCTCGAATCCTCTTAGTGTTGTCACGAATAAGCAAGAACTTCCGATCGTACCTAGAACATAGTATGGTTTATGCGAAGAAAAGCAATGCGCAAACAAAGTCCATTGGTTGTGATTTGTCAAATCATGATTGTTTGATTTTCTTTGTCAAAATTTACAATATAGCTTGACATATTATGTAAGCATCTGTCAATTATTGAAGACTGTATGTTGATCTCTGGATTTTTGTGGCGTTGTATTCCTGTTTCTTTGATGTACAATATTTCTCCACTTTCGGAAGTTAAAGGAAGAGGTTTACGAAGGGTTACAAAAACAAATCCTATCATGAACAGCTGTTTATATTTGTAACTGTGACTGTGACCTTTATCTTTTGACTATTAATTTAAAAATCAAAAAGTCTTTCAACCTTTTCTTAAATTCTCAGTATCATATATCCCAATGCGTGTTCTTTGAGGTTGTAACAAGATCATGGCTTATTTGCAAAAAGATAATCAAACTATAAACGCCTGAAAATAGTCTGAATAGCAGTTTTGACAGATTTTTGACAAATTTTGAGTGTTTTCCCCAGAAATCTATATGAAGGACATCCTTAACAAAAATCAAATTTTAAAGTATTAAAAGATATATATATATATTGTCTTTCAGGTATAAATCAATTTGTTTTCGGTTAGCAATGTTCTTCAAAATTTACAAAACATGACTGTAAAATTGATTTAAAAATGTCTTCAACAGCAACTTGTAGTGTTGAATAACATTTTGTTTTATGAAACTATGTAAAATTTAAAAAAAATCTTTAAAGAATATGATACAGGCGCTAGGGGCCGTCTTGAATTTGCAGTGGATTGTCAGCTTAAATTTGCTCAGTTTTGAGATGCAAAGCCCTGAATTTTTGCTATTGATTTGGCAACATGTAGGTATTTTTGTTGTAAAAATTACACGTTATCCTGACGATTTTCAAACGAACGGATGTAATTTAATAAACTATTTGGAATGTAAATATGTGAAATATTTACAATTAGATGACAAGTCAAAACACAATATATCGGGAAACCATTTCCCTTCAACAGGATAAGTAAGTTTCAAATGTACCTGATGTTGCTTATGTAGACACCGAAACATATGTTTGCAGCTTCTGTATTTGAATAAAAAAAAACATTGTTGTGTGATACATGCAACGTCCAATCGTCAATATTACAATCTTGTATATTTCGGTTGTTTTTCCACGTCTGGACCATCAGGTTTGTAGTTAATGAACTCACAGTTATTCTCCTCTTCTTCTTGCCAGCGGTATGACATGCACAGAGGGTTCACTTTAAACCTATGATTTGGAATGTGACGTTCTCAAATGAATGCTTTTTTCACGAAGATAAAAGAAAAGGAGATGTTCGCCGAGGAGACAACTATCATATATATCTCAATGGTTGTAACTGTACTTGTTTCCCTGTTTTACATGCATAAATGTGTATGTTTTTTACATACATGTACGATATTTTTTACACTCAAACTCCAAATTTAGATATCAAAATCTCTGCAGATATTCGTAATATTTAATAAACCTGAATTGTTAAAATCTGTAATTTGACAAAAAAACATATGTTTTCTGGTACTTCACCTTCTGGGCCTAATAAGGTACTTGACGTGACGCCTCCTTTAAAAATGTAAACACTGCACTTCTTTCAAGTGTTATTTTTAAACCATGAAGTGCTAGCTTATTCCTGCTACATTATATTTTTTAATAGGATATTTGATTTAGTGGTTGTTTCTTTTTTAAATAATAATAGCCTTCGATCTAAACATTTCTATACATATTCGTTTTATTTGAAACATCTTATAGTTTAGCATCTTTCATTTTTTTACTAAAACTTATGATTTCTGAAACTTCAATTTTAGTCCAAAATGACGCCTTTAACGCACCTCCTCTATTGTAAATCTAAACGCACTTTTACTAAGTGTTTTGTTTATACGTAATAAAACACTAGGTTCTTCCTTGTGCAATCAACTCATTAATAGCATATTTTCTTTATAAACGTACTTACTTTAAAATTAAAGCATATAAGCAGTCAAAATGATACCGTCATATAATGTACAGTTATTTTTCCTGCTCTGGATGAAGGCATTTGGAGAGACACTGACAATTAGTTCTACGGAAAATAGTACCGACTTCGATTCTGTGACACTTGCAGGTAAGACAGATTTTATCAATAATAATACTCAATTTGCAAAATTAACGTAAAACATTTTGAACTTTTAAAATATACAAGATAAAATTGAGAATGGAAATGGGGAATGCGTCAAAGAGACAACAACCCGACCATAGAGCAGAGTATTTTATTCCTAAGTAACTAAAACGATAGATTACATTTCAAGTCACCATACGGTCTTCAACAATAAGCCAAACATTTCTGGTGTAGTAAGCTATTAAAGGCTTCGGGAAGACAAAATGTGAGACTATTTAAAAGAGAAAAAACCCAACTTGCATTGATTATAGTTGAACAAAAAACAAACACAATTATTGCAAACAGCAACAAACAATAACCACTTTATTTACATACTTGAATACATGCTCCTGGCTTAATTTGGCTGGCACATAAAGAACGTGCCAACCCTCCTCCCCAACCTAATACAAACTTTTCGTCATTAGACTAGTTATAAACTTGATCATCATGTTTAATACATTTCTACAGCTAAAAAACATGTGACAAAACAACACCAGTTGTTGGCATGACACGGGTTATGTTCTTCTCATATATGTTATGATGGTATGATACTAAACCCCTAACGGGAAGGATTGTGCCTGATATTCATATGATGAAGACATAATCTTTCAATCAGTTTAATTGAAGTCTGGAGCTGGCATGTCAGTTAACTGCTAGTAGTCTGTTGTTATTTATGTATTATTGTCATTTTGTTTATTTTCTTTGGTTACATCTTCTGACATCAGACTCGGACTTCTCTTGAACTGAATTTTAATGTGCGTATTGTTATGCGTTTACTTTTCTACATTGGCTAGAGGTATTGGGGGAGGGTTGAGATCTCATAAACATGTTTAACCCCGCCGCATTTTTGCGCCTGTCCCAAGTCAGGAGCCTCTAGTCTTTGTCAGTCTTGTATTATTTTTAATTTTAGTTTCTTGTGTACAATTTGGAGTTTAGTATGGCGTTCATTATCACTGAACTAGTATATATATTTGTTTAGGGCCAGCTGAAGGACGACTCCGGGTGCGGGAATTTCTCGCTGCATTGAAGACCTGTTGGTGACCTTCTGCTGTTGTCTGTTCTATGGTCGGGTTGTTGTCTCTTTGACACATTCCCCATTTCCATTCTCAATTTTATCAATATGCAATAAAGATCCATACTAGCGGTTACCGTTCCAAAATAGCAATATGACAACACAACCGATAAACAAATTCTTAATCACATGGAAGACCAACTGCTACACAATACTGTTAAGTATCACATCGTGGAAAATATTAAGGACGGGAATAATTTAAAAATAAATACAATAGTTAGGTCATGTTATAGGGGGTCGACCGGGATGAATTGAGGGAAATTTGGACTGCCACTGAAAAATTAGGGTATATCAGAGAGAGACAGAGATTTTGCTTTGCAACAGGCCACCAACAGACCCCTAAGAGTTGTTATAAGGATTCTTAATGTGAAGAGAGCATGGCATCCTCTCTACACAAGGCATTGGATTTTACGTCCCCATTCTGACCGCACGTGGATGTGTATATATTTGTTTATATTCCGCACAGCTAAACGGACGCCCCACTTTGACAAGGGTTTTACTGTCGATCGGAAAAAGACCAAAAGTGACCATATTTCTTAAAGTTATATGAATAAAATACTTATGTTTTGAAGTATAAATACGTGAATCACTATCATACCCCCTACACCTAAAATGTAGGTGTACTTCGAAGAAATGGAAGTTAAGTGCCATTATCTTACTGACACATTCTAAAAACCTATTCTGCCCATAGTTTTAATTATAACAATTGAATATTACCATACTTAAACTATATACGGACGACTGCAATCATTGATAATTTTGTTTTTTCAAAGGACAAACCATCAATTCTTCGTGTGAGACTACATATCAATGTAGTGGGAAAATGGTTTGCTTCAATGGACAGTGTCAGTGTAGTGAAAACCACATCTGGAATGGCACAAACTGCATTGAAGGTATACTAATTAAACATAGTTATCTTATATTTTGAAGACGTTCACATATTTTGCATTTATTAATATTTTTGTATGTTTTATAAAACAGTTTAGATTACTGAGGTTACATAAAACACACCAGAGTAACATTGTGTAAACTGGTGACATTGAAATAATAGAAAAGCCACTCTCCTTATGATAAAATAACAATGTGAAAATCAATCATTTGTTTAGGTTGGTAACCATACTAATAAAAAGTTATTTGGAAATCACAATATATATTTTCAAAACAATTATCTATTAAACTATATGGTATTTGAATTATACATGCAAATATATACCATCTAGTTAAAGCGAGCATTTGATTTTTATGGATTTCCCCTTTTTTTTGAATCAATTACTTTTTAATACTTTTTAACATTATCTACCGAGAGAATAGCATAAGAAGCTTTTTACAATGGTATTCAAAAACATCTAACTTTTAGTTGTATGTGGATATAAAAAGCTTAAAAATCATTTACCTACAAAAGCTATATAAAGCTCTTTCCGTTTATCAATCATCAGAGTGTTCCACATTATAAATTATAATGTTTTGACCCAACTAGCATGATTATTTAGAAAGTGCCGAAAATCGTTGAACGGCGAAGGCGAGAGCATGTTACAATTTCCTCCGATATCCACACCTTTACCAAAACTTAAGTTTTTGAGTCTTTAAGTGGTCACGAGAACTTTATATATAAAATATTGCCTTTGACTGTTCAGGTTAAAATTATATAAGAAAATGTTTATTTTAAAAAAAATACGCTGCTTTTATAAGTTTTAAGAATAGGTTGTCTCAGTTTTTGTATATATTTGTGGTGTCATCTCGAAGTAATTGAATTTAAATTATATATAGGAATAAAGTTGTTTGAATTTGCCTTTTGACTTAAATTTTAAGTGTAAATATTTGCTACATATAAATCGATTTTGTGGATATATTTGCTGTACTGCTCTCGACTATCTGCTTAAACAATTTATTCCAAAGTCAACATTTCCAAACAATTATTTCACAAAACCATAACTTACTGTTATCATCACTTGTTATATTTAGATAGAAATGATCACATTATATGGTAATGCTGTTCATATCTTATTTTTTTTTTCTTTCTCATTGTTTATCAGAACGTTTTCTTATGAACTAATAATAACCAGTAACGTACTCGTGGAGGACTTAGAGTTTCATTTCTAAGTGTTTGCAGGGGAGGATTTTTTTCCACTAGATTTTCCAATAGGAAACTTATTAAATACTAGTACTGGAACAATGATTTCATTTCCGTATTTTTAATCAATTGGACTTTTCATAAAAAAATGATACAATAAGTAAACATTGTTACAAACAATTTGTACAGCTGTAGTGAAACTTTGAAAATCTGTATTTTTAATACTTTCTTTCATATTTCTAGAAAAAACTTTTAACTCAAAATGTAAGCACACAACAGAATGCGAGACAACATTGTTCTGTATATATGGTACATGTCAATGTGCACACATGCACTTTTGGAATGGGAATATCTGCTTGCCTAGTAAGTACAAATTACCTCACACAAAAGTATTAATCCAAATATGAAAAATTATGGGCAATATGGTAAACGTGTTATTTATATAAAAGGAATATATTCGATATTACGTAGAGCAACATATATTCGATATTACGTAGAGCAACATATATTCAAATTACCCACAGAACATAACGAAAAAGTTAGCGTGTAATATTCTGTGATATTGCACTAGTGCAAATAAAGCTTCAAATTATCACAAGCTCATGTAATATAAAAAAATCTACGCTGGGACAATATTCACCAATATTCATGCAATAACCCTATTTTATAATGTAATATCAAAAATATCATGCAGATTTCTTTGTAAAATGAAAATGCAAAATTTACCGATATTTTTACTTCTTTTATGAATATACCAAAAATTAGAGAATTTTCGAAAAACTTGAATATATTTCATCTTGACCGAAACTGAATCCATGCATGAGATCTGCAGGAATTGTAAGAAGTATCATCAATGTTGCTGCATGAAATATTTGGTACTATACCATAAAATGATTTGCACTAATATTGACCCTCGCAGGATACAGTACTTTAGTTGGATATCATAATTTGAATTTGTGTTACCCTTTAAACATCTTACGCTTTAGGAAAATCTGCTCTTACGCTTTAGGAAAATCTGCTGAACCTGCCAAAATAGCCTCGATTTGACCCGAATTGATTTCCCTTATATATTGCTTATGCCAATTGTAGTCCTCCATTATAGTGCAATAACCCCAGTATATCGTTTTGTATAGATGTAAGTATATATTTAAGGTTATAAGCTAGGGAAATGTTATTTTCCATTTTGAATTAAAAAACGAAAAAAAAAGTTATAAAAATGTTTCAGATAATATTCCTCAGATATCAGGGTTTGCAGTTTTGAATATTATTTTTTGAATCTGTGTTACGCTTTTAAACTTCTTACATTTGAGGAAAAACTGCGGAACCTGCCAAAAAAAAAAAAAAAAAGAATACAAGAATGAAGGAACCACCATCCTGACCCTTATACATAGTCATTGCAATTTACAATTTGATTTTGGTTTAAAAGTAAAACAAGATCCTTTTTTACCTAATTAATTACAATGCGTACATCCGACTGTAGAGAACAGCATGAGAAAAATATGTTTCTCCTTTGTTTGAAAAAAAACCCACACAGAATAATATGCATACTTTATAAATTAAAGTAAATCTGTAAATTTCAATTATAAGAAATCCAGGAAATGAATTAACATTTTTAGATTTAATGCAAACTGCTGAATTCTTGCTTAAATATAGAATCGATTATATCATTTAACAGAAAAGACAGCGAATGACACTTGTACGAATTCAAATGAATGTGGCGGAAAACTTCTGTGCGAAGATGGAGTCTGTCAATGTCATGACGATTTATTTTGGAATGGAAACACGTGTATATTTAGTAAGTAATAAATTTAGTATATCTAACCTGAATTCCTTAACACCTCTAAAACTTAATGTGCAAACCTTTAGCATGTTTAGTAATTCTAGCCGATATGCTATCATTTGTGCATAATGTATGTAAAAAGGTAATTTAATTAGCCTCTGCGACATTGAATGTCCAAGATCTACTACATATTCTGTACGATTCTTCTTCTCTCAATACAGCTGAATGTTCATATTCTAAAAGTTAGGCACCACGAGAGTTGCTTCATTTAAATTTAAATGTGGTTGATGAAGAAATATTGAATCCAACGAGATACAGTCACTGTGATGAAATCTGATTCTCAGCTGATTTGAGACGATATATAGTCAAACTTTAATGTGCTTTATCAGAGATCTGCAGACATTGCATTCTTTCTCTGAATCGTCACGAAGCAGTTTCGTATGTTATTGCCTCGCATCACGATTCGAAGCTATTAGTTCAATACGACAAACGCGCTATTATGAAATTATTACTTGACAATAGATAGTTCTGATCGGTCTCTTAATGATGGAGCTAAGATTTTATTGGCTTGAAAAGGATATAGAAATGGGCACATGTCAGGAGGGGTACATGTAGAAGACATTGCATACAGATCATTAGAATCCGGATTGAACTACATACATGTAGATTCAGATTCAATATTTTATTATAGTCTCACCACATACAAATATACAATAAGATTCACATAATAACACATAAAACAGTTAAAACATTTGCAATGTACAATGTAACAATATGAGAAATTCGAGACGCGACTGGTGAATATATTGCTACGAAATCAAACATTGTTGTTTTATTATTACTCATTTCCTTTGCTTAATCTGCAATACAAGATTAGTTTTTATTCACATTATTTCTGATATGATATCAGAAGTCATTAATTACATAATTTAATACGAAATGAGATATAAATAGCTCTTTTCACTGATGCTGACCGGTATGTAAAACTAGATATTTATTTGTTAAAAGTAATTTTAGCACTTATATACAGTATAACAAAAGTAATCACAAGAAGCAAATAATTGGAATCTATTATATTTATTCATTTACTACCTTAATTGAAAAACAATTTAAAATATTGTTTTCTACAATACGTTATTAGTATTCTTTCAAACTCGCTTTTAATAGAAAAATTACCAAACAGCTTCTGTTCAATTTCAGAAAAATTCGAAGGTCAGTCCTGCAGTTCTTCTATCGAATGTGCAGAAAATCTGGAATGTAGCAGGTTTGTTTGTCGGTGTTCAGAATCTGAATACTGGGACAACTTCAAATGCTCTACAAGTAAGATATCAGTGCCTATTTGTTCTGGCTTTATATGTCACGTGCTTCATGGAGAAACACGACCTAGGTTAACGTACTCGAATTGAGCACGTAACCAGGTAACCATGCACCAAGGTGTTTGTTTTTTTCAAAACCTCTTTATCATGATATGTGTCTTAAACCTGTTTCCAGCCTCCCTCGTCATCATCAGTAGTATTATTATTAAAAGTATAATCATTATATTAAATATTTCATGCATTTTCAGGACGATCGTATCTTTACAATGATTTTATGTATTTTTACATCCCCGACTTTCAATGTTTGGGGTTTTGCCATTCCTGGTTCAGAAAAAATCCAGAATTTTTTTTTTTAAGCGCAATTCTTATATTTTTTAAATTTAAGAAGTACAATGCATTGCACACATGATTTAAAATATTCTGCAACTATTTTTCTCAAAAACTAGTCTACTGTATATCTCAAGCGCGCGAAATGTTCAATGATAGTACAAATTAAATATGTAAAAAATAAATAAATATAATGTATTTTTATATCATAACAAAGACCTTTTTGAACTGACCTTAGTAACTACATGTACATGTTTATTAAATATTTTTTTAGGAAAAACTGTAAACGATGCATGTATGATAGAGGCGGAGTGCGGAACCTCTTTACACTGTGCTAGGAGTATATGTCAGTGTGCATCGTCCGACTACTGGACAGGAGCAACATGTTCTCTAAGTATAATTTCTTATCTGAGTAATGTTTACTAGGTGTTAATTTAAGGCACACTAGGCATATATTTTTTGAGTGACTAAAATCAAATTCCTAATAGAAAATTAATTTTTTTTTTATCATAAATAAAAAATTAATAGTTTTTTTTTTATCATAATTCAAATGTTCAAAGGAAAACAGAAGAAATTTTCTAATGGTTCTTTTAAAAAAATATCAAGTCTAAACATAAAAACAGTTTATGTTTCGAATTTCTAGTTTTTAATCAATGCATGTTGATTTTATAGTTTGTATGCATGTTTACAAAATGTAATAAAACAGTGGTGACATTTATGCATTTACAATTCAAATGTGCTTTCAGAAAAAGATGAGAATTCCCTTTGTGACTCACCATTTGAATGTAAAGCAACATTACAATGCAGGGATAAACACTGTGTTTGCTGTGAACAGGATTTCTGGAATGGACAGTTCTGTGAGACAAGTAAGGGTCATAGCGGATAAATATAAATCACAGACACCGTAATCGGATAGTTTCTGAGATGTCACTAATTCACATATAGCAAAAAAGTGTCAAAATACCATGCACAAATATCGGTGTGTTCTACACAAACATAAGTACTCGCTGGGGATAAATACCAACACCTAAATAGATAATACACTTTATATCAGGGTTCTCACTAAGGCGAGTCCATGAGTCCTTGACTCATGAAAATCTGTCTGGACTCACCATTTTCAAAACTGGTGAGTCCAAAGAAGCATCAAAATTGAAATATTTTGTATAAACTGAACACACATATCATCATGATCATCATTTTATAGCAAAAATTTAAAAGAAATCTGAATTTAATGTCATTTTCTTGCTTTATTAGGTCATGGAGACTAAAATGATAAATTATATTGCAATAAAATATCTTCATCTTACTGTTGGACTCACCATGGCCAAAAATGACGAGTCCTTGGACTCACCTTCAAAAACCCTTAGTGAGAACCCTGTTATATATCATGAAAATATTACATTTTGAAATTGATGCTCGTTTATCTGTTACAACGTGTTGTGAGCACAAAAATCACAACATTCATTTTTATCTAGTTGTTAAATTTTAGAATTTAGTTGCACACTTCCATGAAAACATTCCCTTATTACAAAAACAGGAAATGCTGGTCTCATTTGAGCCTGTTATCTATGTATTCATCATTTTTACTGGTTGTTGGATCTATCGCTTCTATTACAAGCTACACTATGAAGAATCAATCGAAACAAAAACAAAGAAAGAAAGAATTAGAAATGCAAAAATAACAAAATATATCCTTTGCTCATGCTGACAAGGTTATGTCCTTACCTAAGTTGTATAATCTTTTATTTTAGAAAGAAATATAACTTTCCAATGCCAAGAATCAGTCCAATGTATAGACACACTGCATTGTATTAGAGGGACCTGTCAGTGTGATGTAACTGAATATTGGACAGAAACAGCATGTGCAAAAAGTATTGTATACATGCATATTACTTTCATTGAAGCTTTGAACAAATTGTTGTAACACCTTTTGTATATGTAATTACTCATTTTGCGAACACAATTAACGACTCTAAATTAACTTTTTTATCAAACAAGTCCAAACGTATTTAATTTTGCCATCTACCATCAAATTGTAAGGTATTTAGTTGAATTTTGATCTTTGAATACAGTAAGGAATGAAAAGGACATGATTAAAAAATTAAAAAAAACTGATAGAAATTTAAATGGCCTGCATTTTCATTTCAGTTCGAATTGTAAACAATTAACTTTTTGTTTATCTTGTAGTAATTTCCCCGGGAAATAACCATTCTAATTTTAGGTCATGATAAATCTTACTTTATGAAGAACCAAACTGATTACAAAAACAAATGCTAGTACATCGAACTTTAAGATGATATCATCAATGCTGAACTTTTATTTGGTGGATTGGTATTTCAGCAAACAGTCTGTATTTCAATGGGTACTTGTTGTGCACCACTACTGGCTGACTTGTTTTTGTACTCATATGAACCAAAATTCATACAGAACCTTTTCAAAGACAAACAGAAAAAGCATCTGGCTTAGTTTTTTAATTTCAATTTCAGAGAGATTGATGATGTTCAGTCTGTCACTCAGTTACCCACATTTCAATGCATGCTTACATCTCATATATCCTAGTGAACTTGAGATTAAGGTACTACCGAAAGTAGAAATTCTTGATTTTTTCTTGATATTGGTACCGATGGACGACTTCAAACTAGAATATATGACAAATGTGATCATTTTAACTTTGGAATTGTCAACTTCCTGTTTCTCAGCAGTAACAGACTCTCTGTTCCATCGTATGGCGTTTACATATCTCAGTTAATACGTTATGCTACGATAGTGCATGTTCTCACCAAACGAAGTCCATTAACAGAGATGTGCTCCCCACTCAAAAACTCTTCTAATAGAGTTTTGAGGAAGAACTACTGAAACCATATTTCATAAGTAGCGACAGCAGTCTTAGAACTTTAGATACCTTTATAGTCGACTAATCTGTAGCTTTACAGATTGTTTCGTATTTCCTATTGTGACATTTTGACTGAGTGTGAATTTGCTTGGCGGCTGATGCATGATGCATATCATGAAACGCTTACCCTGTTGTCATACCCGGTCTTCATCCTGGAGGAGTTCACGTGATTTCCTCAGCTTTAAAAAAATTTGTTTGTTACATTTATTTGTCTCTTCTTAATTAATTAAAGATTTGAACATCGGTGAACTACTATCGTCTTAATCTATATAATTCTGGACGTCTACAAAAAAATAAAAGATAAAAGCGGCTAATAAATGTATATAATAACATTTTTTTATCTACAGAATACAGAAAAATGATGCACCAAGAGTGCACTCATGAAATATCTCGCCTCTTTTACTTATTCCAATAGTATTGTTATATTTTAATTCTATGAGCCATGAGTTACTACAGGAACAATTTAATTATACGCAATGTCAGCTGAACACCTGTAGATGAGGTTTATCATCGCTGAATTTTGATAAAAACAAATCTAAATCTTGTACACAAAAAACTTAAGTTCTTTCCATACATCAATTTTAAGAGAGTTTTAAGTTAAACTAAAACAGGTTTGCTGTTTTTTCAAGATTTGGTTACAAATTTATCAAATGCAAGAAAAAGATGTTGTTATAACTATTCTTTTACTTTCAGAAAGCAATCTGTTTGAAGATCTCCGCAATATGATGAGGAATGTCACAGGATTAGGTCGGTCTCCTTCTATTTAAAAAAAAAATATCCTAGTATAATACTGCTGTTCAAAAGATGCTTCTTTTGACAAATTGCTTTATGTTAATCTAAAATTAGATTTTTATAGACATTCGAAATTTTTTGAAAAAAACTCTTATTTTTAAACAGGCTTTTACTTATTTAAGACTTAAAAGTGCAAAGATAAAACAATTAATTTCGAGCCTAATAAAATATTTAGACTTAAAAAAATTATTCTTTCTTTAAGAATAAATAGTAACGTGTTCAACTGTTTGTATTTTCAATTAAGATCTAATTACAAAAAAATATTTGTTATTATTATCGTATATATTTGTTATAGTTGCAGGTTTTGGAGTTTCCAGAAAAGATATCCCTGCATTTTCAGCTTCTCTTTCTGGTCCAAAAACCTTTAGCAAAAATGAAAACATAAAGTTTGACACAGTGTGGTCAAATGTAAGAAACGGTTATAATGCAACCAGTGGAATTTTCACTGCTCCTCAGGCCGGTGTTTACCAATTTTCTAGCACATTAATGAGAACTGGAAATGCAATTCGAGTTCACCTTTGGAAAAATGAGATGAGAATTGTGTCAATCTATGCAGGTGCTTCAGATACACAGCCTGGTTCACTCAACACAGTGTTACAGCTACATATGGGGGACAGAGTATCCTTACGTAATGCCGCGAATCAACAAATTTACAGTGAATCTGGAAGTCATTTTAGTATGTTTTCTGGATTCATGATTTCAAATTAAACTGGTATCTTGTATGATACTCAACAGTTTTTGTTATTATAATTTAAACATATTTCTTTTTTCCAAATCTATATTGACTCTGAATATATAAAGAAACGCTAACATTTGGTTGTCCCTTACTGTATCAGGTTATTATTTTCTTGGAAAAAATGTCCACTGTAACATACCCTCTGTACTTTCTTTTCCATTAAAACCTGAGCTCAGCAAGACTGGAAACAAAACAAGAAATGTTAATGCTGTCATATTCAGTAAAATAGACTAAATCACAACTCGACAAAATATTAACTTCCATAATATGTTTTGCATCTGAAAAAACATCACAAACTTAACAATCGTTGAAACCGCCGACAACACCGACGCAATATAATTCACACCAAAGTCTATCTGACACGACTTTTGTACCAGTCGAGACAAAAAGTGACAGAATATGCGTTTTCTTGTACTAAAGAAAAAATTATGAAATGAAAAATAACACTTCATATATTTGGTGCGTTTGAAGTGCTTTTCTGAATTAACATACATGACGAACGCAATGCCAAGCGTGTATTATATATATATAATAAATGCTTGAATACATGAGGGTCTATATGATCAAAAGGGACCCAAATAGAATAGCCAATTCTAACTAAAGGTCAAATTTACCTCTCGGAATTTAGATCATATAATGCTGTTCAACTTCTTACTATTTTGGCCTGTTAAACTTTTCGAGCGTCACTGATGAGTCTTTTGTAGACGAAACAAGCGTCTCTTGTACAAAATGTCAATCCTGGTATCCTGTGTCTTTCTATGTTGTAATGTTACACTACTACGTCAGGTTAGGGTGAGGGTTGGCGCCTGTTAAAACGTTTAAACCCGCTGCATTTGTTTGCACCTGTCCTAAGTCAGGAACCTGTTTCAGTGGTTGTCGTTTGGTGATGTGGTTCTTAAGTGTTTCTCGTTTCTCGTTTTTTATATAGGTTAGACCGTTGATTTTCCTGTTTGGATTGTTTTAAACTAGTAATTTTGGGGCCCTTTATAGCTTGCTGTTCGGTATGAGCCAAGGCTTCGTGTTGAAAGCCGTACTTTGACCTATAATTGTTTACTTTTTATACATTGTGACTTGGATGGAGAGTTGTCTCATTGGCACTCATACCACATCTTCTTATTTCTATCTAGTATATTGAGTTTATTTAACTGAGTGAATTTTGAAATAAGATGGACGATATTAAAGGGACATGCAAAAGTTGACGAAAAACTGACAACACCGTAGCGAAAAACTGACAACACCGTAGCGAAAAACTGACAACACCGTAGCGAAAAACTGACAACACCGTAGCGAAAAACTGACAACACCGTAGCGAAAAACGATGAAAAGATAAACACATATTAAACAAAACACTGCATTGGAAACTTGTTTCTGAGACAAAAACCCCACCAAAACTGGAGATGATTCAAGGTGATTCCGAAGATTAAGCAGATCCTGCTTCGCATGTGGCACCCCTCGTGCTGCTCATGGTAAGTTAAAAAAATCGGTGATGAGTCTCATTCAATGATGTCGCAATCATAAAAAGGACGGGATTGTGTCTACGACAATCGGAACGATAACATATCAGTGGTCTTCTGTGACACGGATATCCCATAAGATCAACCAGCTCATAATGTCTTTTGTAAAACTTTCGAAGGGATGACTTCAACTTTGCCACTTAGAACGATTGATTCAATAGCTTTCTTGTAAACAGCAATACCCTTTCAAGGAAATCATTACAGGACACAAAAGATTGGAACCTTAGTTTCTTAACAATTCATGATTTTATTAACGGAAAACCTATAGGAAAGATATGTTATAAATCATGTCAATGCCGAGGAACTGACGACTGAGTTGATGATACCTTCGGGGACTACCATTCCACCACAACCAGCAGCGACACAGTATAAGAACATGTACAAGAACATGCACAATGCATTTGGTAGGTCCGAAAAGTTTTATGGACTCGCTTCATCAAGATCAATATCTGTGCTGACACGTCATTAACTTTGTTACATTGGTTATCTTAAAGTTGCTTCACATATTATTTAGAAAACCTTTTCTTATAAATATAAAATTTGATAAAAAAAAATAATAATAAAAACAAATTTTTAAATTGTTTTATTTTTCACTCGATGCCATCTGTCTCTTTTCATTAACTCTTAAAACTATGACTTTTAGGTCTATTTCTGTGCTTTTAATAAGTGCAGTTTCTGTTTTCCATGACGGTCATGTTTCATGATGAACAAGAATGAAAAACACAAACTTTATACTAAATACATTTACCTTAAGGATCATTCAGCCCAAGTTTGGTTGAAATTGGTCCAGTGGTTTCAGGGGAGAATATCTTTGAAAAAGTTTACACCGAACGATGTACAATGGGTGCAAAGGGATGGTAAAAGCTCACATGGCCTTTAACGCATTGGGAGCTATAAAAGAAGGTATCAGCTTTCAATATTCGTACTTGGAGACTGAAAATAAACTATACTGCAATTATGCTATTTGCACAGTCTAAGAATGCATGTTTGCGGAATTTGCACATCACCAGCTTTAAATTAAAATTCATTTGTTTCTACAAAAAATATTACACTTGAAACAATTGTAAGTGATGCAATAAAAAGACACATTGAAATGTCTCGCCTGTTTTACTTATAGTGATAGAATGTCATACAATAGACCGAATATAGTTAGTTATTGTACCAGAGAAACAGACCTAATTACGAAAATTAAACAGTGGCCAATGAACCATGAAAATGGGGTCAAGATCAGATGCACACCATGCAGTCATTCCACACACCAAACATATATTAACTATTGCTTATGGTATCTGATAAACAAACATAACCATAAAAACTTACCATTGACAAATAAACTATAAAAATGAGTCAATTTCAGATGAACCCTGCCAGACATCTTCACCTAATAAGCATTCCATGCATGCACCAAATATAGTTGACCTATTGTTAAGAGTATCAAAAAAACAAACAAATCCATGAAAACTTAACTTTGACCAATGGACCCTGAAAATGAGGTCAAGAGCAGATGATATCTGCCGTACAGACGTGTACACCTTATAATCATTTAGTTCACCTAATTTAGTGGTCCCATTGTTTATAGCATCTGAGGAATAGACCAAATCGAAAAAAATAGTCCTATGTACCATGAAAAAAGGTCAAGGTCAGATAAGACCTGCCAGACAAATAGGTACATCTTACAACCATTACACACACCAAATATAGTTGACCTATAATTGCTTATATGGACTTGATAAAAAAAAACCTTAACATTAATCACTGATCCATAAAATGAGGTCGAGGTCAAGTGAATTTTATCTGACAGCCATGCAGACCTTGCAAGGATCCCATATAGTTATCCTGTTTTTTTTTGTATGATAAGTGAGTATTTCAAATGACTCTAAAAAGAATCAAGTATTCGCTGAACCATGAAAACGAGGTCACTGACAATGAACGTATGACAGACGACAACTTCGTAAAACAATGCATCTGCATATGCATACAAGGTATAAAGCACCCAGTTCTTCTACCTTGTGAAATATAGAGCTTTATACAAATAGCTAATGTCGCCGCCTGATTTTAATCCCTTCTTATGTTTCGAATTCCTCAATTTTCGTCGCAGACGGACAAAATCAGACATTGTTTCAAAAACATAAACTTTATTTGTACTCAGCTCGGAACAGCACATAAATGATCAGCACAGTTTAATGTAGGTTCTATCAAAGTGTATGATGTACACTAGTAGTTACTGTAGCTAGTAGTAGCTAGGTCATTATCTAACTAATGAAAGCTGTATAGTTGCTTCAGGGTGTTGGTGGTGTGATATTGTCATTGATGTCCAAACGGTTTTAGAGGAAACGATACAAATGTGCAAGTGTAAAAATGCTTATCTAGCATTGCTGATCTGAATGCATACATATATGTATTTATATGAATGAAATGAAATGTGGGGTGTACAGAAACATAACATAACAAAACACAAAAAGACACGTGGAGATGAAAATACGATATTAAGTTTTGGCCAGAGCATATTGGTATTTTGTGTGACGAATGAATACAGTCAAAATCCGATTGTTTTTCATTCCATAAAAACTGAAAAAAAATTACATGTTATAGTTCATGTCTATACAATAAGTTAGTCTCTATCTTACCCGAATGTAAAAAGTTATAAATAAATTTAACAGAGTCTGCAACCAAGAGTTAGACAAATTCCTTTAAAAACAAAGCATATTAAGAAATAACACAGAGCAACCAATGAGGAATTTCCTTACTTGGGACAGGGCATGAACCAATGGCAGGATTGCATTTCCTTTTATTAATCAAATATCTTATAATTTGATCAGTAGAACAAACTGGAGGCTCTAGAGAGCCTGCATCGCTCAAATAAGTCTATGTGCATCTTCATGAATAGCCATTACCTAACATTGTCTACTTGAATATAATTCTTGACTATATATCTTTTTTTCTTGATATTGTATTGCTGTTCATTTTTTAATTTACGGTTTTTCTCTATTTTCTATAGTTTTTGTCCAAAGCACAAAAAAGGTAAACAATTCGTCATTTGAAGGCGATAACTCCACTAAGAAGACAACTGCCAATTGCATCTATACAGATCTATTTGCAGATCGTGTCATACAGTTATTTTTGCTTATAAAGTTTTGATATATCTTTAACAGTTTTCAGAGACAATACGCAGAAACTTAAAAGCCAATGATAAAAATCACAATTAAAGGGCAATTTAAAACACCTATACAAGATTTTTTTTGCTTTTCAAATTTCTATCTTTTCATTATATGCATATATAGTTTTCAAGTTAAAAAATAAAAGCACAAAAAAATACAAATTATAAGGAGTAGACTAACAATTACGGTTATGTTGACTCATTTGTAGATCTTGTCTTGTTGATTATTTTTGCTGATCAATTTTTTTTTATCTATATAGTTTTCAAGATAATAGACAAATACGCAAAAAAATGGTAGAAAACGTAATTCAAAAGAAAATAACTCTTATAAGTGGACGACAGAGGATTTCGAACATTTTTGATTATTTGCGGATCTTGTCTTGCTGTTCATGTGTTAAAGTTATTCTCCATCTGTTATAGTTGTTAAGATAATGAGCAAAAATGAATAAAAAATGATTAAATTTGTCATTAGGGGCAATAACTCCTATTAGAAGTCAACTGACAGGTTTAATGTTAATGGCCATTTCTGTCCTTTTCAGATTTTCTCCATCTATGGACTCTATGGCGGTTTTCAAGATAATAGACATTGTGTTCTTTTTTTGCCATGTCTGTCATGTTGGTTGGCAGGCGTGCTGATCCGGTTTTTTTTCTAAACAAGATACAACAAAGATGACTGGCCAAGTTTGGTTCCAATTTGTCCAGCAGTTTCAGGGAATAAAATTGAGAATGGAAATGGGGAATGTGTCAAAGAGGCAACAACCCGACCAATGAGCAGAAAACAGCCGAAGGCCACCAATGGGTCTTCAACACAGCTAGAACATCCCGCACCCGGAGGCGGGCTTCAGCTGGCCCCTAAACAAAAATGTGTACTAAGATGGTTTAAAATATTGCATCTGGTAGCCGAACTCTTGTGACTGATATATTATGCCGTATTTATAGCTGTAAGAAAACACAGCAAAGTGTACAATATTGAAGTCACGATATTGTGCAATGCTCAGTTACTATACAAATATGTAAGACATTTCAAATACAGAAAAGAGACGGACGCAAAGTTCATGTTTAGCTGTTTTATTGTTTTCGATAATTTTTTTTATGATTACAAGGTAGGACAAGCATAGTATATAGTAGTACATATGTACATTTGGTAGTTTAGAACAAAATGGCTTCGAGTTAGCTGTCTTGCTGTTGTTTTTTTTTTATGAATAATAAAAAAATCGGGATAGTTTCAGAGTTGTTAAATTCAACCACAACAAGGTAAAATGTGTGGTATAAAGATAAAAAGGGGAATATTCAGTGCAAACAAAATGATTTTTCCCTCTTTTGAATCCTGTACCCAAGCGCTTGTGCACCAAATGACATGACTTGTTTTAACTAATTTGAAAGCTTTTGGTCTTAATTGGAAGTTAAAGGAATTCCCTGTGCATTGAATCCTTTATTCGTTTGTTTTGAATTTTATTTATAACACATTATAAGCACTATTTTTAGAACTGGAAATAGTAATATTTATTTTTAGAAACAATATTGTTGTCTCGAAGTTTCTTTCTGTAGGTTGTGTTCATACTTATTTCCAAACTATTACATATTAGCATACATTTGCTATAAAAGAAAATTCAATCAACCTTAAATTTATATTGATAAACTGGTGTCTGCGAGTAAGAAACATTTCCAATACGGTAAGAACTTTTTCTAATCTTACAAAAATTAAGTGTTTTTAAATGAAATTGAACAAATTTTTTCATCAAAGTTATGATGTATTTGTAATTTTGTTTCGATTATTTTTTAAAACATTTTAATAAATTATTATGAAATTTAAGATTTTCCCCGGAAATATTGTCCGATTTTGTTTTGATATCCGTTGCTGGTCCTAATTATTAACCTCATATTCCAAAACATCTATGTAAGTATTTTTTTTATGATAAACATTGATTTTAACATCTGTGTTGACTGTACGATAATCAATTGAATTTATGACTACCATGACGGTCCTTGTATTCTCATATCGTTTTGAAGTATTTTGATCTATTTTAATCTTGTATTGTCAATGTATTTTTTTTTATACACGTAAAAAATGTCTATACTATATGATCTGGTTTGTGTGTAGTCTTCATGGTAAACACTTTTAGACCATCAATCCTGAACTTTTCGAGAAAGTATACTGCCTAGACAACATTTACTGATCTGGGATGTAGGGTTTGTAGTTAATCATGATTTAATTTATGTCGATCGTGAAGACTGTAATTTACAATTTAAAGCACGAAAATAGTAAATATATTTTTTTATATTTGTATTCTATGCCAAATAAAATATATCACTTCATGGTCATGAATTATTAACAAATTTTATAAGTTTCTTGTCCCTTGCGAGATGCTTGGAAAAAGCTAGTAATTATACATGTTATAATTTTACTTCCTGCATTGAATTTTAGTGATTCATTGGAAAAAATATTGTATGTCAGGTTTATATCTGAATACACACACATGCAGATTTATTGATTTATTGGTGCATACTTGCTTATAGATCTACGAACACCGAAGGCACGATCGTATGCATATATATTAAATACAATATATTATCAATACTTTGAGGAAGGAAATAATTCTTTGGTTTCAGTTGTTATTGAAATAATACTTCCTACATAATGGCAGACTCAGGTGAAAGCAGCAATCAAGGAGCCAGTGGTTCAGAGGGACGACCAAATACCAAAGTGGAAATAATCCAGTACTTGGAAGGACAGGTAAGTCCGAACTAATGTATGTCACCAATGTCGATTACTATAGCAACCTAGACTTCCCTCATGCAGTGGTGAAACCCAATAACATTGACATGCTAAAAAAGGTGTACATTTAGCTGTTAGGTATATGTACATTGTATATATCTGGTCACGTCTGTTTAAACTGGAATCTTGAGACCGTGTAGGAAGCGTTCACATGATCAGAACTTTAAAGAAGCCCTGCAACAACTCTTTCAAGGGGTCGGTAAGTAGCTTGATGTAAGCCTCTCTTCCTGTGACAGTTTAACTTGCCCGCTCTTCCTCCCTGTTACATTTTGTACCTACTTTTCAATCCTGCCATTGGATTTATTAGGACCCCGCATTGAGGATGTGGGAGTCCTATTGTTTTTACTTATCCGTCTGTTTATCCGTCTGTCCGTCCACAGTTTTTGTAAACGCTAAAAACCCTAAAAGTATAGGTTGGAGGCCAATGAAATTTTGTACAGTTGTGCATAATATGCATTTCATATATATTTTGGGGAAATTCAGCTCATCAATTTTTGAATGTTCTGTTAAAAAAAAAATCACAAAATTTTTGAGAAATGTCTTTTGAAAACACAAAATTCCAAAAGTATAGGTAATATGCCAATATAAGTTGGCACAGTTGTTGTGCATAGTTTATAGATGTTCATAATATATTTGAGTGAGTTTTTGTAGTGAAATTTAGGAAAAAGTTCGTTTTTGTTAAAAATCACAATTGTTTTACTCCAAAAGTAAAGGTAAACATGGTAAAAGGCCAATGAAATTTTGCACAGTTGTTGTGCATAATATGTAGATGTGCATATTGTAATTTAGTGAAAATCGGCTAATTAATTTTGGTAAAAACTTCGTTTTTGTTGAAACAAATTACAATTGTTGAGAAATGTCATTTGTAAACGAAAAAAATCCAATAGTATAGGTATGAGGCCAATAAAATTTTGCACAGTGTTTGTGCATACTATGTAGATATGCATATTATATTTGGGTGAGTTTTTGCTATTACGAAATGATTCTCTGTGTCAAAATTATTCCTTGCTAACTAATTACGAAAATGCCCACCAAATTACATAGTGCTTGGATTTTAACAGAACTTATATTAATCGAGACCTCATCCTGAATTATTTGCTGGTGTCAAAATTTACGAAAATAGGCAACTTATGAACATTTGCTTGGTATGCATCAGTCTCTTTGTAACACATAAAAATGTGTAAGCGGGGCCCTTGTTGACATGTCAGTTTTCTCTAGTTGTTAATTTGTTCTCATCCGTGTATGCATGAAATATTTGCCACTGGACGTTAGACAAGCATTCAATCGATCAATCTATACGGCCGACATAGAAAATCTTTCATTTTATAAAAAGTTTCAGACTACTAGTAAGAGTTTGGGAATCAAAATGCATACAACTTTTGGAATCATAACAACCTGGAAGAGGGTTATACCTGATAGCCAGGTAACTTCGAGTGGAGACACAGGCTCATCTTAATGGTAAACTAATTTGCGATGACGACTGTAAAAACTTGATTACTATCAACAGTTTGTTGGTTGTTGTTTTGAGTGAAAAGGAAGTGGAATAGGCGATTCTCAGTAAAATTTAGGATAACAAATTACTATGAATAAAAGAAGATATGTTAGTTATAAATGTTTATGAGACAGCAATCCAACGACACACAAAAAAATGAATATAGAGGTCAACATACTGCGTTCAACAACAGACAAGTGTCTATATAACAGCTCAAAGTACAAGAAAAGTTGGTTATTCGAAGAGACTTTCAAAAACCTCCAATGAACATATGATGATGGATATAACTCGCATTTTTATATATCAACCCTGAGATTATTATAACACATGCGTTATAGTAGTTTTAGATCATCTAGATCCGTGGAATATAAGTGGAACCTTTGATTTATTTCCAATATGTGTTTTTTATTTCGGATATTTTCGTTTTTAAGGGGGTTACTGAGATGTATGCTGTGAATCCACTTACATGGTGTCCTCATTTAGAGACAGTGGCGCCACTTCCTGCTGGTACAACAGTTCTTGATACAAAAGCCCCATGTGAAAAGTGTGGTAACACATCAGAAAACTGGATCTGTTTAGTGTGCTACAGGGTAAGTTTGTCCAATTGCTAGTAAAACAAGGAATGAGCTTGCAAATTAGAAATGTAAAGTGTGAACTGTGTTTATTTAATGGTCCATATACCTGTATGCTTTCATAGAATCAAGATATTCCACTTACATGATGCCCTCCAACTGTTTGATTTTAGTGTCACAGGTGAGTTTATAAGGACAAATCGCGCATCTGGTCTACTTACTTATAAGCCTGGCTGGTATCTAGATGACTTTTTATCTACTCCAATGTTGAGATTTATAGTTTATAGTTGTGAGAGGAATAAAAAAAAACGCTCCTTGTGTCTACTCCTACTTATTCACTGGGATTGGGGACTTTGTTGAGGACTATTAAAGATGTTCGGGGTCCATGCTCCTTGGCGTTCACAGGAAGATCTATTATACATCTTAGATAAATAAATGCTTAGTTATCAACAATAATTTGGTTGGTCTGATCGCATTTTTTTTTTAGAGATTTGAGATTCTAAGGATATTTATGAACCAATTATGACCTGTTCCGTGCATCTAAACGCATAGAACTAAATATGATTTACGACATTTCTGAGCACACGATATTTTGAGAATAACAGTCATCATGATTTGTGTAATTATAAAATTTGGAAAGCAGATCGTGAACTATAAATATTAATATATTTAGCAAATGAATCCCATTTTATGGCATTTTGTATAATATGTTACTTTAAATTTGTTAAAACAAAAACCAATACAGAATTGATTTGCTCATATACATAGTAAGTATATGCAAGGAATTGTATATTTAAAAGGAATGGAAACGCGGCTCGAGATCAATCGGGATACCCGCAGAGCACCCGCCGTTATAATCCATGTCTGTCTCAGTCGGAAGTATGATGAATAATATAAAGAATCATGACGGAGGTCCATTTCCTGTCATATAGATCGGTCTTTTAAATTCACGGGGTCATCTTGCTTGAGAAGATATAAAGGAGAGAGAAACCCAAAATCAAGAATAAACTTTTATTCCGTGAATAGTTAAGGCCTTAGGTATCATTTTAATACCTCATCAAACATACGTTTGTAATATTGTATTATGTAAATTCTCATTAAAATAGACCTTGGTCTAGAAACTTGAGCGAGTTTCATCCGGATTACAAAACAAAAAATACTGTCTTTTGATTTTTTTTCTAAAAGCTCGACAACTACGAAGTGCAAAACAAAACAGTTGATATCATTATGAAGCTGAACCCTTATTCTATCATTTTGCCTTTTTTTTAAGTTTCTGGTAAATTTTCTGAATTTTCTACGATTTTTCGAAATTTCAGTTTTGAATTTCACTATTCTGTCAAAATATGTCTATCAATCTGGGAGTGTACTACGATTTCTTTCAAATGTTGGAAAGTAGAAAGAACAAAGTGAGAAAATGAGATATCATTTTAAAGAAGGAATATTTTCCTACAGTTTGGTCTAAATTACGAATGCTAAATGATATTGGTACTATGTAAATGATTTTTATTTCGAAACATGTTGAAAATTTGAAGTAGTGCGTCATTAAATACATCGACACTTCGTATTTTGGTAAGGGTTAAATAACTACTTGAAATAGATGTGACATTGACATACAACTTAAAAGCTTAATCTTTTTTCTATCACATAGTGTTGATTTTATGAAAATGGTGATAAAAACGAATTTGCTATGATTTTTCAAAATCCCATGTTTATAGTTCACATTGACGCCATTTTGTTCAGTCAAGTTCCACACCGACGAAGTTGGAAATTACAGGCAAGAAATGTATATAAGACTTCCGATTGGGATTGATTGTGCCGTTTTATACACGATTTTAATCATTTATTTTTTTGTCAAATACTATTTTTATACTTAATCGTTGTTTGGCATTGCAGTTTGCCATTATTAAGCTTTGCAGCAAATTACCACAAGCTTAAAAGCAAAACAGTTCCTTCCTTTTTCTAGAAGAGCAGTAGTCTAGAGGTCTCAAAATATTCCTTCGGTGTTAAAATAAATAATATGCGAATGTCGGAAGTTTTAACTATTTCTAATTAAAAAAATTATTGCACCACGGCATAATTTAGCATTTATTAACAGGTGAGCTCGGCGTGATTTCTTTTTGACACTTTAAATCAGGGACAGCCTATAGTAAGTATACACTGTTCCTGCTTAAATATATATACGACAAAAATTAGCTTATCAATGATACATGATAGATTATACCTGCAAATTGGATATCCTATACCGGTGTTTATTATAACACCTATTATCTAAGTTCTTTTATCTAGACAAAATACTACATCTGTTCACGAACTTCTTCCTTTATAATTTTCTATACCAGTCATATTCCAAAATTGAAAAGTTATTTTTTAACTTTTTGCATTACCTTAAATCTTTTTAAAAACTCGTATAATGTCAGATTTCATCTATAAATTGATCTTAATTGTTGCATACCTTCGTGAAATATCAAGAGGAGGTACAAGAAAAAAAATGTTTTTCAGAAGTAACTTTGTTTAAGGTTGTATTTTTTGTTATTTCATTTAAGGAATTGTATATCTAAATTTCATGATTAAATGACCAAGTTCGATAACTACTGCCAGATAAGTAATGAGCCAGTTTGAGCGACGGGCTATTTAACACACCACCCAAGTCAGAGATGCATCATACAATTTTCTTTGAAGTCGGCCGCGTTTCCATTCCTTTTAAATATACAATTCCTTGGTATATGATATATCATTTATGACGAAAAGGCAAAATTGAAGTAAATCAAACTTTGGGTTTTGAAAGCATTTAACTTTGGTCTAGATAGGTACTATTATAAGGACATACACTCGAAAATGACGAGATATTTAAATTTATCAAGCATTCACAATTCTTTTGGTATTGACAAGAGATAAGTTTATAAAACATTAAGCCCTTCATCGTGACGTTCAAGCAAAAACTATAAAAATTTCTTTTTTGACTTATCAATTATGATTGAAATAGCAAGAAAAACGATAAGCTGGTTCTCGCCTACTTGTACTTTTGCGAAGCGTTAAATGCAAGCGGATGCCATATTTATGTCCATGTATGTATATTAATATATGGTGTTAATCTCTTTTAATGAAGGTATTCTGTAGCAGATTCGTGAATGAACACATGGTAATGCATGGTGTAGAAGAAGGACATATGATGTGTCTGAGTTACTCAGATCTGTCGGTCTGGTGTTATGGTTGTGATAATTACCTAGATCACGAGGTTAGTCAATGAAATTGAAACACAAGATGTCAATTGGTCTGAGAATAATACATGTATTAAACAAATTAAAGGCAATGTGATGTCATAACTGCCTGTACAGCCATGTAAGGTCTTTAAATTGAGAACAGATTTCCACAGGGAATTTTGAGCAATAGTATAGATGGATGGATGGATGACTGTTTAACGTCCAGTGGCAAATTCAATTCATAATCAGGACGAGAACATGATAATGTGATATGAGTATAAACTTGTCTGTGTACTAGACCGACACGTTGAGCCGTATTTTTAACGTGCTAGTTCACAAGGTAAATAATCCAAAGGCACATTATTCTGACTCCGAGCAGACCAATATTTGCTCTTACTCCTGAGTTGTAATGTGAGAGCGCTTTTTGGATATCTGACCCCGACCTTGCAAGACACTCATGGGTAGTCAATGTCGTTAAAAACCCCCCTCGTCGTCGGATCTGACTTTCTATAATGTTTGATACTTTGAATTGAATTGAGCGGGGATAGGCTAAGCACGACATCGCATGTATTCCTGTTTAAAAATAGGAGTTATCTCCTTTTGTACATAACTGCATGCATGATCAAACTTCATTTATGGACAAAGGATTATACCTTCAATTCAAATTATTGCCTTCCAATGCTTAATACAATGCAATGTTTAATTTTTAGTTCCATTCCTAATAGTAAATAGCTGCATTCTTTACCCTTCAGTGCTTATACGCACTATATAAGCACTTTTAAAACATTAACTTAGGTTTCTATGCTTGGTGTACATTGTATTACCGTGGTAAATACGTATTTATTTATGTATTTCTCTGTGCTGAGTGTTTTTGCGTTTGTTTGTACTGTATTCCTGTCACATAGTGTTGTCATTTTAGTGGTGTTTTTATACGCCCGTTTTCGGGACGTATTATGGTATACCGTTGTCCGTCTGTCCGTCCGTCCGTCTGTCCGTCTGTCCGTCCGTCCGTCCGTCCGTCCGTCTGTCCGTCCGTCGTCAACATGTCGGACATTAACTCAAAAACGGTTTAACCAATTTGCATAAAACTTTGGTGAATTATTGTTTATATCTATTGACGTGAGCGTCCTTTCGTTTTTTATAAATTTTAGATTATACGTTTCCGAGTTATGGGGTTTTATTCATTAAAAAAAGGGGGATTTTCCAGTTTTCGGACAATAACTCAAGAATGCTTTCACCAACTTGCAAGAAATTGTGGTGAATTGTTTATATCTATTGACATGAGCTCCCTTTCGATTTTTATATATTTTAGATTTTATGTTTCCGAGTTTCAGGGTTTAATTCATAAAAAAAGGGGGATTTTCCAGTTTTCTGGCAAAAAATCAAAAATGCTTTCAGCAGTTCTTATGAAACTTTGGTGAATTGTTTATATCTATTGATGTAAGCTCCGTTTAGAATTTTATAAATTTTACATTTTACATTTCTGAGTTATGGGGTTTTATTCATTAAAAAGGGGGGGATTTTCCAGTTTTTGGACAATAACTCAAAAATGCTGTCAGCAATTCTCATGAAACTTTGGTGAATTGTTTATATCTATTGATGTTAGCTCCCTTTACATTTTCATAAATTTCTAATATGACATTGAGAATTAATTGAACTTTATTTGTTTATAGTCTGACAACAGATTTACTAAGTATTGCGCAACAGCAAGAAATCTTTAATTGAATATAAATTCAATTCATATAACCAATATCAAGTTCTTTGACTACATTTATTCAGAAACCTATAATATGTCAAATATTTAATACAATCCAAGTTCAGACCTGTATCAAGCTTGAATATTGTGTCCATTTTTGCCCCAACTGTTCAGGGTTGGACCTCTGCGGGCGTATCCAGCTGCGCTCAGCGAAGCAGTTTATTAGCATTGCCATATAAGCGGGAGGTTTGGCTAGTCATAAAACCAGGTTCAACCCACCATTTTTTCTTAAAATGTCCTGTACCAAGTCAGGAATATGGCAGTTGTTATCAAATATCCGTAGTCCGTTTCTATGTTTGTTGGCGTTTGTTTTTGTTTGCAGTTCAGTGTGTCTGTTGTTCCGTTGTTTTCCTCTTATATATAGTTGATGTGTTTCCCTCGGTTTTAGTTTGTAACCCAGATTTGTTTTTGCTTAATTGAGTTATGACCATTGAACAGTGGTATAGTACTTTTGCCTTTATTTATACAGCTATTTTGCCATGTCTGCTCTGTATCAAAATTATGTTGCACTTTTTGAATTTTATTTCATTTGTGTGTAGAAAAATATATAAAATTTTAGTTGTTAAGCATGAGTTTAACTGTTATGTATCATCGATTTTTTTCTTCTTTTCTTTAAGCTTCTCAAGCTAGCGAAAAGTGCTGCACATCTTCACAAGTTTGGAGAAGGATTGCAGTGACAACTTTAAACATGTCAACAAAAGAAACATGTCAACAAAAGAAACATGTGGACAAATTGATTGTCATAGTTCTATTTTTATTGCACTTGTCCCATAAAGTGTCATGTGAGCTGCTACTGTCACTTCGTGATCATCTGAAAAATATTATATTTTCTCGTATTATCCGTAAACCACTATGTCTATTTAGAATAAACCTTTGATGGGATAGTCCTTGGACATCCTTTTCAGCATAATATCCCAAGAGTCAACTTGTTGTCACTTATCTCTGATGGGCATAGCTAAAGAAATTATAAGCAAAAATTGAATTGAAGTAAACTTTGTTTTCTTCATTGAAGAAAAGTATCATGCAGGCCTATCCATCTCCCAAGACGACAACAACTGCTGAACTAATTTTAATGTTAAGCCAAGGATTTGTATAATTTACTATACAAATCCTTGGTTAAACATAGAGGGGAAATGTAAATAGGGAGATTTTGGAAATTATGTTACACATTCGATAAAAATAAGCAATTTTAGCTACTTGGATATTTCAGTTTATTATTTACCAATCTGATTCAATTGCAGATCCCGTGTCCGTGCTTCGCGTACAAGGCTATCACAAGTTCCTTTCTACTTTCTGTTTTAAAGATCTTTCGGAATCCTCTGGTTTTGTCATAAAAAGACCGAAATTTCATTGGCTGGTGTAATAATTGACAGAATAGAAAGTAGAACAGGAAGATGTCAGATCTTTGTAAGCAAAGTATGGACACAGTATTTGCATTTTAATCTGACAGATTGCTTGTTTGCTGACTGCTAATGAATTAGAGCGGCTTACAGTTTTTTAATTAATTTGGGGTGGTGGTAGAATTTTCTGGTATTTTCTTGACCAATTTATATTTTCAGGAAATCAGCCATACCTCTTTATCATTTTTATGTATACAATTAATATATGCAATGTGCGATGTATAATTGTTATTTCCTTTAAAAAGGTAATAGTATGTAAAGTATGTAAAGCTATTTTTGTCAAGATATATTGTTGTATCTATAATAACTTAAATGCCTTTGTTAACCTACGTCTTATTTCTTACAGAGACATTGGGTATACGTGTACGTCAATGAGACATCAACCCAGCGACAAAATAACCAAAATACATTTACATATTGTACTATCGTATTTAAACGTTTTGCTAGAATATGATTGTCCTCTTTATTTCAAGATCTCAAAAACTTATAACTGCTATGATGATTCGATGATGAACGACTGAAATCATTGGTTAACAAGTTGTACGACAACCGTCATCATACGTTAATTGATGTATGCTTAACGTCCAGTGGCAAATATTTCATGCATGTTCAGGAAGAACCATCTACAGAAGTGTGAATGTAAGTCTCATAGAAACAGCTTAATGAAAGCATATGTATTTTAACATTAGTATCATGTGTATATTAAAGTTAGCGTCCAACTGACACTATTTCTGGATTTTTAGTCATTGCCTATTACACATGCCACCAGATATGGAATTGATTATCGGGTGATGCATTACATATCTGTAGGTGTAAACCTTGTCGACGCATTACATATCAGGAGGTGTTCACCTTGTCGACGCATTACATATCAGGAGGTGTTAACCTTGTCGACGCATTACATATCAGGAGGTATTAACCTTGTCGATGCATTACATATCAGAGGGTGTTAACCTTGTCGACGCATTACATATCAGGAGGTGTTAACCTTGTCAACGCATTTCATATCAGGAGGTGTTAACCTTGTCGACGCATTACATATCAGGAGGTATTAATCTTGTCGACGTATTACATATCAGGAGGTAATAACCTTGATGACGCATTACTTACAGGAGGTATATATTAACCTTGTCGACGCATTGCATATCGGGAGGTGTTAACCTTGTCGACGCATTACATATCAGGAGGTGTTAACCCTGTCGACGCATTACATATCAGGAGGTGTTAACCCTGTCGACGCATTACATATCAGGAGGTGTTAACCTTTGCTACGTATTACATATCGGGAGGTGTTAACCTTTGCTACGTATTACATATCGGGAGGTGTTAACCCTGTCGACGCATTACATATCAGGAGGTGTTAACCTTATCGACGCATTACATATCGGGAGGTGTTAACCTTGTCGACGCATTACTTATCAGGAGGTGTTAACCCTGTCGACGCATTACATATCAGGAGGTGTTAACATTGTCGACACATTACATATCGGGAGGCGTTAACCCTGTCGACGCATTACATATCAGGAGGTGTTAACCTTGCTGTTTTAACTGTTTTCATCTCCTTGTCTATCTGTACCAGGATTTGTTCGACGTCTCAATTGCCTTTTTATACCGCTTTCAGTTTTGGGCATTTAGTCAGATATATCCTGCAATCAGCATCTAATGTACAAACAACAGGTTTATAATGAAAATATCCCCAAGGGTGACTGGGGAATAGAAATATGGTCTCCATTGGTCTTCCTTCGACCGATTTGCCATTTGACGTTAAGCACCCAACAATCAATCAATCAATCAATATAAGGAAAATAACACTAGAAATGTGATGCGTCCGACGCGCCTCAAACGCAAAATTCAATAGGCAATAATGTATAAACAAGGATTTGTATAGAACTATACAGGCACTTGTCTCTGAAAAAAAAATTCCGGCTGTGGGTAGACGAAACAATTACGGTTGACATACTTAGGGAGGCCTACTACGAATGATTCCGAAAACAAAGGTAAGCGTGTGATACACCACTGTGTAGATAATATCAATTTAGGTTTATGGCATAACACATTTTAGTGGGGTTTACAACCGAGAAATAGAAATATAACGGAATTTCGCGACCGGGTGACATTTTTCCAAAAATGCGAGTTAAGTGTTATATTAAGGTATATAGGAATTTTTATGCCCCACCTAGGGGCATTATGTTTTTCGGTCTGTGCGTCCGTCCGTCCGTCTGTCCCGCTTCAGGTTAAAGTTTATGGTCAAGGTAGTTTTTGATGAAGTTGAAGTCCAATCAACTTGAAACATCAACTTGAAACTTAGTACACATTTTCCCTATGATATGATCTTTCTAATTTATTGAAAAATTAGAGTTTTTACCCCAATTTCACGGTCCACTGAACAAAGAAAATGATGACGAGTGGGGCATCCGCGACTATGGACACATTCTTGTTTTTTTCAGAGACAAGTGTCTGTGATACAAATCCTTGGTATAAATACCTGAATACGTGAGTGGCTATATATCCGAAAGGAATAGACTTTCATTCATTTTGATACCATTTTTATTTTTAGAAGTTGGCTATGAAGGTAATGAAAAAAATCGTTTCCGGAAGAAAATTTTTCAAATTTTTTTTAAATTTTAAATGCATGCATTTGCAGTCTATTTCTATGTCTACAAAAGGGTGGCGAAAGATACTTCAAACTCATAAGTCGAAAACAAACTGACAATGCCATTGCGAAACACGAAAAAGACCAAAAGAATTCTTGGAAATCTTGGTTTAGTATCTTCCTTGTAAGCAGCAACCATCTATCAAGGAATCATGATAGAAAACGCAAGCTCCGGTATATCGTATCGACTGTGAAATATATACTCCATATGCAGGCGCTGTTGGAATGTTGCTTGTTCAAATTGAATGTTGTTTTTTTAGACAGAAACAAGTTAAACAATTTGTAAAATAGAATTTGATTTTTAAGCCCCCGCCGTAGCAGAGGGGGCATTACGTTTTACCCTTGCCCGTCTGTACGTCCGTCCGTCCGTCCGTACGTACGTCTGTACGTCCCGAAATTGGTTTCCTTTCTCTTATCTTAGTCTGTCTCAACCAAATGATATGAAACTTATACACAATGTTTATTTCCACAAAACACATATCAAGTTTGAATTTTTCTCTTTGTTTTTTAATCCTTTCAGTTCGGCTGTTATGCTATAAATCAAGTTGAACGTTTATCGGAAAATATAACAATTGAAATATTGTTGTGTGTGTAACGTCTTGTGGCAAATATTTCATTCATATTCAGAACGAGAACACGTTAACTAGAAATACAATAGGTTGGATCTATAGATCGACCCGCACGAAGAGTTGGAATTTCGACTGCAACTGGAAAACGAGTATATGTAGGATATGGGTATATATTATGCCTTGCAAAAGTTCATGCACATATGGACCAATTAAAGAATTGTTGCAAGGTTTCCTTAACGTGCATTGAGATTGGCAATCGCTCTTCGCGAGGCATTCCATATTTCAATACACCTGTTGACCCTTTACGTTGCAATCCTTCGGAAAATGTAAAAATACACTTGTACCAGCAAACATTACATTGTTACAAACATTATTCCATCCATACCATGCGTTTGTGTTTTATTGATTGATTGGTTATCCATGTGCCTTTATCTAGACTATACCGACTAATTTGTGCATTCTTGTGTCAAGACAAAGTGAAGTGCAAAGTAAAAAGAAATCTCATCAAAAGTAAGATTAATCATTTGAATTTGTGTAAACAAATTTTAATTATTGAAATATATGCAACAATACATATATCAAGTTTGATATATTAATGTGGTGTTGTTACTATACGGTATATATATTAAAGTTGGGAGTTTTGTTTTGTGTTTTCTACATACAATTCTCTTTGTAAACTACACAAATTGGAAGGCACGTAACCAAAGGTAATTTTTAGTAATTATAATTATTTATTTTAAATATTGGTTTTTGGTTGCTGTAAACAAGTCTATATATATCATTCAAAATACAAATTTGATTTATAAAAAAGAGGCGGAAAATACTAAGATACTAAGGGGACATTTAAAACTCGTACGTCAAAGAGAATCTGACGACGCCACGGCTCACATCGAAAGAAGAAGAAAAGACAAACATGTCCATAAAACACGACATAGAAAACTTTGAGCAACACAAACCCCACATAGAACTAAGGTGATCGCATGTACATCAGTAGGGTTAACATATCATGCTTCACTGGTGGCACCCGTTTGGTGATCATTCAGTGATGTCTGTATCAGGGAAAAGAGAACAATATTGTGGTAACGACAATTGGATATGTTGACACTTAATATAACATATCATGCTTCACTGGTGGCACCCGTGCAAATTCGGTGAGATCTCTATCAGGTAAAAGAGGACAAAATTGTCTTTTACGATAATTGGATATGTTGACACATTCCATAATGGTCAACCAACTCATGATGGCGTCTGTAAAACTATTAAAGGAATGACTTCAACTTTCCCACTAAGAACCCTTGGTGCAACAGCTTCTGTGTAAGCAACAACCCTCTATCAAGGAAATTAATCATGATAGGATATGGAAGCTCTGGAATATCGTATCAACTGGGAAATATTTACCCCATATGCAGGCGCTGATGGAATGTTTCTGCAAAATAAAAATTTGTTCACATTTTGTAGACTGAAATCGTCTTTTTTTGTCGGAAAATTTTGTTCTCAACCGACCCTCATTTTCAATTTCTAGATGTAAGTCAAGATATGAGGTAGATTTAACTGTATCTGCATGTGGTATCCTGTTTTTCAAGTTCTTTCTAGGGAACAGGCGAGATAAACATAGTCCCAAACATTGAATTGTTAAGGGAGAGGTCATCTTTACATAGCGGAACGTGATGTTAAAAGATAATACTAGAATATCTTCTTTTCATTTTTCCTAAGAAACTATTATAGTACCAAGTCTACCCCATAAGAACAAGGGAACAAGTCGACAAGAAAATGAATCAGTTTCAGAGAATGTTGCGTGTTTTTACACAGTATGATTTATCCTTAAAAAGTTTCCTCACATAAGATATGTGTATCTACGTTTAGAATTCCTTTTAATGAAACAAAATGTTACTAATTCCTACAATATATTTATAAGTTTAGAATGGAGAATACTTATGTAAAGAGCAGAGAAGTCAAATGTTTTTATACTACTGGTATTGCAAGAGGAAAGATACTGAGATTGTATGTAATCGAACAGATAAAACACACCTTACAGCAATATTAAGACACATCGTACAGTAATTTACAGACACATCTTATAGTAATAGTTAGTCATACATTACAGCAATAGTAGGACACAGCTTACAGCAACATTAAAACACGCATTCTAACCCTTTTAAGACACACATTACAGCAATAGTAAGACACGCCTTACAGTAACATTAAGACACACCTTACAGCAATATTA